ATTCACATTCTTCTTTTTTTGCCCGCCTGCCTTTTTCTTCTTCATTTTATTGAATTTGCGATGTAAGTTGTTTTTTTTCTTTTCGGTATTTGGTTAAGTCTATTTGCGCCGTTTCGTTTTTTATGTTCGCCATTGTAGTTTTATTTTGTTATTATTGTTACTCATTTAACATTTGTTTGGCTTTGCTGTGTGTCGCCTTGCACGTTGCGAAAAATTCAACGATTACTAATGATGTAATTGAAGCAATTCGTTCGCGCGCGTAAGTGTGTTTTGTTTGTTATTTATTCGACCGCGAGGCGGAAAACATGTATCCATATGATGATGGTTTGTAGTCGCGTATACACATGTTCATTTTTTGTTGTTGCTACTTTCAATTTTGTGCGGTTTATTTATATGATTATACATCAATCTAATAAAACTATATGTACGCGACGTACATCTTTCAAAATACTTTTGAGATAATGCCATAATTCGTGTGTCTTTTCTTTTCTCATTTGAATTTCTTTATCTTTAGGTGGCATTTTAAAACAAATATGTATACAAAACAGTCATAGCCACATTGTCATTGCTACCACTTCTGTTATTGTAATTTATTGTTTTGGAATGCATATTTTGTGCTGGCAAAATAAATAAATGTAAAAAAGATCCAGATTGTTGAACGAGAGCAAACGAAACGTAAATTTATTGTCTTATGTGCTAAAAACTCATGAAGTCAGACTCTTTGGTTGTGTGTGTGTATGACTTGACGTAGTCGGATCAAATGTGACGACCGAGCAAAAGACAAAAACAGAGATTATAATTGAATTGAAATATAAACAATGCGCCAAAGAATTAATCATAAACATTGGTACTGTGTGCTAATTTTAAGAAAGACAAGAATAGCACGATGGCAACAGCGCAGCAATGATGAGAGAATGGCGGCCACAAGCTCTGGGGAGAGTGAGCAAGAGAGCGAGAGAGAAAGATGACGGAGAGTGATCGGCGACCGAATGCAAAATGTGCAAACGACAAAGTTTGCAAAATGTTCGGTTGAGCTTAACGAATTTTGAAGCATAAGTCAAATTAATCATGATTCCGTTGTTACAAAAATAAACAAACAAAAGTTTTAATAGAACAAAAACCGAATCCAACGCAAATTATTTATTACCATACACACATCTCGAGCACACTTCATTGAAGCGCCAAAATCAATGTTCTCTCTCTCTCTCTCCTTGTGTAAACCAGCGGATAGCACGGAAATGTCGCGAACTATCCAAAATTAACAGCACAAATATTGAACAACATATTCAAATTGACATCACATATAAGGCAATCACCATTTAACAAAGTAAATAATGCGTCAATGGTGTCGTCACACAGAACAAAAAGAATTCAACCGATCGCTCTCGAATCAAGTCATTTTTATTTACAATTGAACTTTGAATTCTTTTTTTTTACTTATAAAAACATATCACTTAAAATTCACACACACGTCAAATTTCCCACACCAAAAAACACATTATGTTTGTTAACAAAAAAAATTGAAACGTTAAGAGTTTCATTTAATAAAATGGATATTTTCTTTTGTTGCAATCATTGGTGCTTGTTCATTTTTTTATATTCAAAATTGCAATAAATTTTTTGTTGTTGTTTATGGTTACTGCTGTCGTCGTCGTTGTTGTCATCGTTTTTGTCAATTTTCATTCGCTTGCAACAGAGCTATCCGTTCAGATTTTGTGTTGTTTTGATTTTTATTTGCAATATGCGAAACAGATTCACTTGCCTGCTTTTATTGTTGTGCTAAAATTGAGCTGCCTATCTCTATGATCGCAAAGCTTATCCTAATATTATGTGTGAGAATCATTTTGGTGCGTTTTCTTTGGCAATTTTCTTTTTAGTCATTGTAATAAACATTTTTTGATGCTCATTTTCATTTTACGAAAAAAAATCGATCTAATGACATTGCTGTCAAGCCAAACACATATGACGCCGCTGTCGCCATCGTCGTCGCCGCCTCACTCAATTTTTTTTTTGTTCAACAATGATGATGCATAAGATTGGATTCCATTTGTGAGTCACCATTTTTCCTCTCTGTCTTTCCTCTCTATTCATCATAGTCTCTCTATTTCATTTTAACACTTTGTCTATTATGTCCTCTATCATCAGCCACTTTTCTCGTCGATTTGTGTTTACAAAACATGATTGAACAACACGTAGAAAAATATATGTTAGTTGCTTTATTCTCGTCTCAATCTATCTCACTCGTGTTCGCATTCATTTGACATGTATTTTTAATGATTGACTGAAATATTGTCGCTATTTTTGCACAGTGTCGCATAAAATCTATGTGCCATTCGTTTATGGGTTCATTTTCGTTCTTTGTGTAATTTAATACAAAATTCGATTCACATAAATGTATCCAAACGTGCGTTGGATGTTGTTGTTGCTGTTATTGTTATCATCGTTGTTGTCGTTGAAGTTGTTGTTGTTGTTGTTTTGTGTGTGTATGATATTAATGCGCTTGATGGTATATGGTATTCGATTTATATGAGATAAGACAATCGCAATACGCACGTAAGCTTTCAACGAGCCAAATGAAGAGCGCTATGGCGAAAGAGAAAAAAAAACATACACAATAGCAACATACAACAAAAATGATGAAGAATGTGCGTATGTGCGCGTTGCTCATTTCATTTATTGTCGTTGACATCGCGTTCTCTTAATATTCTTGCGATCCGCTTGCATATATTGTGTAGAAATTTGCACACACATTTTTTTTTTGTCTTCGTTCGCTTTTCATTCGTTGTTTTCGTTCACATTCGCTTAAATAATAAGTTGGTTCTGATACATATTTTTTTTTTTTGCTACTGCTGATGCTTACATATTTATTTGATTTTACTTTTTTTCATTCATTGTATGGGCTGATACTCTTATTTCGCCTAATTTATCACATTTAAAATGTGCGCAGACTGTAGCGGTAAATGGCTACAAGCCGACGAGAAAATATATCGTTCTGTCTTTCTCTTAAAAATGAGAATGAATCGCGATGATATTTATGGAAAATGAAAATTTGTTTCGGTACGAAAAAAATAACACACGCACACACGAAAATATTTTAAACCACAATAAATCTAAACGTACCGAAACCGACGATTTAAAATTATGTATTCGCGCGTGCACTTTTTATTGCCTTGCAAAAGTAAAATTCAATTTCTATTTCATTCTGTGCATAAACCACATAAAAAACAGAGAAAAAAACTTTGCGCTGTGATGTCGTCAGCAGTCGTGGTCGATGCGACAAAACTGAACTTTTCAGAGACACGAATTGAGAATAAATCTCTAACAGAGAGAAAGAGAGTGAAAGAGAAGAAAATGCAAAAATCAAATCGGCACAAGCATTAGAATTGGTTTGTCCAAATGTTGTGAAAAATTAATAGATTGTGTTATGTAAAAAAAATGTGTTTGTTTTTTGGTGGGCAAATGTGTAATTTAGTTTCGGTTCATGCATGTGTTTTATTAATCTTTAGAGCTACAGTTTGGGTTACGATGTGCATGCAATGCATGAATGAATTACTGTTTTGCGACAAATAAATTCACATTGGTTAATTATCGTTTTGATTCTACACATACCAAACAAAAAAGCAAACGAACGAACGAAAATGAATGTGGAAAAGATCACGAAATGTTTACTTTATTTTTCGTTTCATCCCAAAACAGATGTTCTTCATTTTAATATGAGACAGAAATGAAGATTCTTATCGGTCTACGGCCCGGTCGGACTGTCAAAATTATTCTTATTCTCGCTTGTGCTTTCTTTGCCCCGCAAATTATGTTTGAATGCGGATTTATTTGGGGTTTTGCGTCATCGGAAAGGGTAAATATTAAAATAAAACCGCACAGATGTAAAGATTTTTTGTTTTCATTTTGTGTTTCTTCTGTTGGTTTTCGTCACCATGGTTGTTGTTGTCGTCAAATATAGACAGAGAACAGACAGACCATTATTGTTACATGCACAAACCTATTACACTGCACATTGTGAGTGCTGCATTGCAATAGTCGGCTACAATAAGAATAATAATTGTAACAACAACAATAACAGAGAATACACATACACAAACACGAACATACACCGTGTGTGACATTTCTTGGCTTGCATCTCTCGACTAATGCGAATTGCCGCAAGCCGTTCATAAGAAACCAAATCGGAAGGGAGACAGAGAAAAGTGAAACAAACTATAAACAGCAACTACATTAAAATATTGAAAAATCTTATTCGATTTGGCATCGAGATATAGAAGTTTTTCTTGATTGAAAAAAACCAACTATCCATCACATGGGACTTTTTCTTCTATTTGCCATGTTCGCGATCAATCTGTCTCTTGTCGTAGCGAATGCATCGAACTTTAAACGCAATGCCGCGAACGCATTCAATTGACTGCAATCTTTTTCTTTCAGAACTTTTGATGCACATTTCATTCACGTGTTTGTACAATTCAAACGCAGAGATTCTCTTCTATAAAAAAAAACTACATTTTTTCACCAAACTAAAAGGTCGAGAGAGAGGAGTGTAAAAGATTGAAAAAACACGTTACTTTATATAAAAAACGCAAACCAAAAAATTCCTTATCTTACTTTTACCTATTCATATTCATATATATTTTCCGTTATCATTTGTTCCCTTTCATTCCTAAACCCTTGCTCTTCTTCAAACACATATGTTTTCCTTGCATTGGCTCGATAATTCATTGTTTCAGGTTTTTTTTTATTGTATCTTAGCGAATAATATCTATTGTTTACTGAGGTCTTTTTCGCATGAAATTTCTCACACAAAAGAAACGAAGAAAAATTTAAGGCCACGTTACAAAAATCAAGCTAAAAGGAGATGTTCTTCCGTTTTTCTTCGTCTTATTCTTAAGGTATTGAATAAAAAAGGTTTGAATAAAACTTGAAGATTGTTTTCGTAGGAACAAAAAAAAAAAACACAAAAAAATGGGGTAAGACATATAGTAAAACCAACATACATAGTTTTGATGTTCGATTATAGGTGCGTCTCTCTATCATGAGAAGGTTGTGTGTTTTGTGTGGTGATGATGTTTGATCGACTGATGCTTTAAGCTGGATAACACTTTCGATTATATAGATTTTGTTCACGTTTTTTTTTATGTGTGCATAATAAAAATCGGTATTATTATTTGTTTGTGTCTGTTTTCGGTTTTTACTTCAATTTTGCCACTTTTGCACAATTGTTTATCTATGTATGTTGCTTGCCCGCTGATTTCGTACTCTCTGCCTGTCGCTGTAATAATTTGTATTGTTACTGCGGCTCAATTTTATTACGATTTTCAACTTAAAACATATTTTTTTTTCTCTCAATATTTTATTTATTCGATGTGCTATGTGATACTCATTCTAATCCGTCAAATACCTTCTGTTTTTCGCTCACAAACTTGGCCACATATAATACAAGGAGTTGAGAACCAGAAGCAATTTAGGAAAATAATGAAAGTGACAAAAGCACAAAGTGAGCATCGAAGAAATGAAAAACGGCTCGAATTCGATCGAAACGATGGGAAATTTAATCAGACATATGACGATTCATTTATTTGTTTCGCATACGAGCGATGACAACAACAATAATAAAAAGAGAGAACGAAATCCAATAAACACGAGCAAACTGGATGTTTTTCAAGTGAAAATTCACACAAACACACATTCCCACAATTGCTAAATTCGGTAATTTATTGACAAAAAAATACACGAAAGTTTTTGCTTCGGTTGCTTATTACGAAAAATTAAAAAGCACTAACAAAACAAATCGTTCCATTCACATGGCTAATTGATTGATTTAATTTGAATTGAAATTTCACATCACACAGATTGACCAAAACAAACAAGTGTTGTTCGTATATATTGGAAAATCGAATGAAAGAGAAAAAAAACCTTTTTTTTCCCTTGATGAAAGATGTACAAATTGTGAACCATGTACACAAACTCACTGAAAAAAAAACAACAATAGCGAAATTTAAAACAAAAAGTTAAAATTATGTATAACACAAGGAACAAGGTGGCATATGAGGCAATTTTTTTTACTCGCTATATGCGATATTTCGTTTAGTTCGGATTAATAATAAATCAAAGAGTATGAAATCACACATGCACATACACATACATGCACACACCTTATGTTTTTATTTTTATTTGCTGCTGCTGCTGTTCGAAATGCAGCTGAAATTTCGAGCGAGTGAATCGGTTTTGTTATGTTTTCTTTTTCGAGCGCTGGTCCATCGACAATTCTTTATTTGATATTTTTCGCTTTTTTTATGTTTCGTTTTTAGCTAACAACGAGATTCGCGATATATGCGTGATATATAGGATTTTTGACTATATTTTCTACTTCTTTTCTACGAGTTGATTATTTAATAGACGATCTTTTTTTTTATATTGGTTGATATTGTTTTTTTTGGCGATTTTATGTGGTTTGTTTTCTTTCTTCTTTTTTTTTTTTTAAAAAAAGGACTACTGTTCTAAAGACAATTGAACGAAAGAAGTAAATAACACTGTTGTTTTCACTGTATTTTTAATCCCTTATTGCAATTGACTTTCTTCGTGTATTGCGTTAGTCTTTTCTTTTAAGGTAAAACAATTAATTCGGAATTTTTGTGTTGTTGTCAATTTATTTTTGTTATTATTATTTCTTTTCTCTTTTTTGTTGCTGAATAGAACACTAAACTAACTTTTTGACAGATGATTATTTTTGCATATTACTCGAGTACGAGAGAGTTATTTTCATTTCGTTCTATTTGGTCGCATTACATTCGTTGTGGATGTGCGATGGTGTGCGTGCGATTTATTCGTACACGCTTTAAGTTGTCGTCCGTGTCGTATCGTAGACACGATAATATTTGTGTATTTTATGGATGTGTGTATTGCAGCATTAGGAGAGACAGGCAAAACCGCGTAACAGTATTGGGGATTAAATGTATGACAGAACTGAACAAAAAAACACACACACTTTTTTATTCTTTTTGGTCTCTATTTCTTTCTTTCTCTCTGTCTCTATCTATCTATCTCTCTCTTTCTCTCCCCCATATGTCGCTGTTATAAAATTGAGACTCGGCAAAATCACTGTATTAGGCGCGCTACTAACTAAATGTACTCTTACATTTGATATTGTTCGGCATATTTGCACCACACGTGTGTGTCATTGTGTATGTAAAAATTCGATTGTATATTGCACGGAATACGATTTTGACATTTACACATACAAAGAGAAACGCACATCATATCAGCGTAATACGTAATTCTTGCTATATAAACTAGATCCCGCTTGCTCTCACGTGTGTCTTTTTTCAATGTGAACCAGTCCATGTGTGCGTGTATGTGTGCTTGGTTTGTGTCGTCGCGTATGAGCGACTAAATTATTTTGTACAGATCTATGTGGCATATGTATGTGTGGGAGTGAACGCGCACGTGTATTTGTATTTCACATACCGATTTTGACGGACAGTCGACCAATTTCAAGTTTTTGATGTTGCGCGTTGCGTTCCATTCGCCAATGTGTGTTACACATCGCAATCGGGCCCAAAGCACACAATTCACATTTGTTTGAACAGTTAGTACTGGTGGCTTTGAAAAACGAGAATGACGACAACGGCGACAGACATTTGATTCAAACAGGGAACGTTACAAAAATTAATGCGACACATTAAATTGACATTGTATGTTCAAATTTTTTTTTTCGTTATCGTTCTCCTTTTGCTCAGCTGAATTATTTTTTGTTTCTGCTTGCATTGAGTAAAAAAAAGATTCAGTTAAGGAAACGCCTATTTCCTTTCTCAACCCTTCTGTGGCTGGAATTCTACATGCGATATTCATCTGTTGATTGTAACCATATTCTAAATTTACATCTTGTCTCCTGATAAAGATCGAACGCATTTATTTCTTTAAAATAAAAATTTATTTCACATAAAAATTAAAATGAGTACGAAATTTTGGTTTTATTTCAATCTCTTTCTTTGTGTATGAAAATTATCGCTTCCGGCTAACGTATTACTTTATTCCGGCTTTTGAAAATTGGATATAGACAGCTTTGTTTATGATGCACAGAATATAGTGGTCGGATACAAGACTGCCATGTGTAAGATAACGCATCTCATTCGTTTTTTTTTGTTGTTGTTTTATTCTGAGCAACAACATTTTCGATGTAGAACTTTATATTGAGCTAGTTACAGCTAAACATTGGCCTGAATGCGCCACATTTCAATTGAACGGTTCAGATAAGAGTATCCGTTCCATACGGCACAAACAGCATATACGAAACATGTAATTAGCTACTGACTGCGGGCCAACGATAAGAAATATCCGTTTATTAAAACATACATACATATAGATAGACATTTTTTTTCGAAGGCTCATTCTTTCTTTTATCATCAACATAAATTCTCTTTCAAATATTCGTTTCTACATCATTTGGTGCAAAATGTATTCACTATTGGTGCCACATAAATTGTAAAAATTCTGTGAAATCTTTTATATTGTGATTCCGGGTGCGAAAATATAGTAGTCAAGTCTGATGTAAGCAATCAGACGCATCAAATCGCATATCGCGCTTCTTTTAAATTACGAAATAAACATAAATAGGGATTAAAAAAAAAAAAAACGGAACCCCAAAAATGACTTGTGGATTTTTAAATAAAATTCTCTGGTCCTTTTTACTGGCCCTAACCGTTTCACAACAATTATCTGCTTGCCCAACCGAATGTAGCTGTTACAATGGACAAGCTCAGTGTACACGCTTACCTGCCTCGAAACTCATTCAATTACCACACGCTACACGGATTTTGTAATGAACATTTTTTCCGCTTTTTTTTCGTTTTCTACTTTTTTTCGTTTTCGTTTTCGTTTTATGATGAAATCACAAATATAACTGATTTTAATTTTTCTTTCAATTTAGAGTTTTGTACAACACCGATTTACGCCGTTTAGAGCAAGTTTCGTTCGCATCGTTAATATCAAATTCAGTGGCAATCAAACTAGAACGAATGTAAGATAAAAACGGAAGCTAAAATCTTTTTAAAGTCAATTTTCCGATTAAATCGATCTTTCATTTCAGCGAACTCTTTAACAATAATATTGTTCAATTATCTTCGAACACATTTGATGATTTGCCAGCATTGCACTACTTACGAATCGACAAAAATACCATAAATTGCGATTGTGCCGCACTTGATCTCTTCCGAAAGTTTGACGAAAATCGTGCTCGTGCACACATCACATGTAATACCCCGCAGCATTTGCACGGAAAAAACTTAAATCACGTTAGTGATACGGAAATAAGATGCGGTAAGTAAAAGTATAGATACCGCTACGGTTTGCACAAAATTGCTTCGTTTGTTGCCGGGGATGAAGAAGAAAAAAACCGGTTATCTATTTTATTCTTTAGATTCGGTTGGCGGAAATAAGTTAAAGTTAACAGGAAAAGATGGAAACTCAATGTTTGTATGCCGTACAGAAGACGAACTGAATTTAGATGAATTCGATGCTGATGTCAGTGCAGAAGAGAGCGATTCACCGATTTCAGTTGATATACAAAATTTGGCATCCAGTTTTATCGGTGAACATGAGTGTGTTTTTAGTGAAGTGCCACAGGGATTTCAAAGTGAACATTTAAAATTAATGGTTACAACCGAAGCAAATGCATTCAATCAAGTAACGGCAAATACCGAATTCAAAGCTGAAATAGTCGTTGAACGTACAACAACAACCATCAACAATGCACAGTTTGACGATGAAATGTATATCAATTGCCCAAAATCAGGTAAACAACAATATAAAGTGGATATTGTAATATCATAGAAGAAATGAATGAATATCTACAAAATCAAAACGATATACCGAATAAATTCTATTGATATGTATATTCCAGGAAAATTTGTATGCAGTTCGGAAAAACAATCGGAAAAGCCAAAATTCATAAATGAACCGTTTAATATCGACGCCTATGTTGGTACTACAATTGAAATTCCATGCGAAGGGGAAGGCAACCCAAAGCCAGAAGTAAGTTTATTACAACACAAAAGAATCCAAGAAAAACAATTATTACTGGAAATTGTAAACAATTTATTCGTCGTCTCCTCCTTCTTCTTCGCTGCAGGTTCAATGGAAAAAAGATGGTCGAACGTTGGCGCAAAATGTAAATCATCGTATTGGCATCAGCGGAAGTTTATTTATAAAGAAAATAACAGCACAAGAAGCTGGCCGCTATGAATGTACGCTACGTAATAGTTTGGGTCGAGTGAGTGCATCAGCCCTTGTAACCGTGAAGTAAGGAAATCAAAATAATTAAACGAAAAAACTGTTTAATTAACTATTATTTTCCATTACCGTTTTTTTTTTCTATTTAAAAAAATGAATGCAAATAGAAACAAGGACACTGTTTCGCCGAGTGAGCAAGTAATTCGAGTTGCATTTGCCGATGCGGCTCGTGAAGTTGATACAGCCATAAATCAAACGTTGGCCTATCTATTTGATCCTAATTCAAATCGGCATCATGGTGATCTATTTAAAATCGCACGATATCCGAAAGGAAATGCACGTGAATTGGCCCGTTCATCCGAAATATTCGAACGAACATTGGTCAATTTACGTAAACAAATAAATGCCGGTGCAAAATTACAAATTGATGCCGATAAATTCAACTATAAGGATATTTTTACAAGCGAACAATTAGATTTAATTGCACAATTATCCGGTTGCATGGCACATCGAATTAAACCAAATTGTTCGGCCAATATGTGCTTTCATATGAAATATCGATCGGCCGATGGTACCTGTAATAATTTCGAGCATGCAATGTGGGGAGCATCATTAACGGGTTTTCGACGATTGGCAAAACCAATTTATGAAAATGGTTTTAGCACACCAATCGGATGGGATAAGGAACGTTTGTACTATGGACATCGTAAACCAAGTGCACGTCTTGTATCAACGGAAATTATTTCAACAAAGGAAATTACACAGGACGATAGAATCACGCATATGGTTATGCAATGGGGTCAATTTTTGGATCACGATTTAGATCATGCAATACCGTCGGTGAGCTCAGAAAGTTGGGATGGCATCGATTGTAAAAAAACATGTGAAAATACAGCACCATGTTATCCGATTCAGGTATTTATTTAAAAATAAATTGATTACATTTATGTTTTAAATTTTTAATCAATTTTCCAATGTTCGTTAATGTTGACCGATCGACGTTCGACGTTGTGTTCGATAATATGTATTTTCAGGTTCCGCCAAATGATCCACGTGTCACAAATCGTCGTTGCATCGATTTATTTCGATCAAGTGCAATATGTGGATCGGGAATGACATCGATTCTATTCGATACGGTACAGCATCGTGAGCAAATAAATCAATTAACGGCTTACATTGATGCGTCTCAAGTGTACGGTTATTCGTATGAATTTTCACGTGACTTGCGTGACTTCAATCCAAATGTCGGTTTACTTCGTACGGGTGTAAATTTTCCAAATCAAAAGTCAATGTTACCATTTGCTTCGCCAACCGACGGAATTGATTGTCGTCGTGATGTCGAAGAGAGTAAGATGAATTGCTTTACAGCTGGTGATATTCGGGCAAACGAACAAATTGGTTTGACAGCAATGCATACGATATGGTTGCGCGAACACAATCGCATTGCTGCCAAATTGAAAGAAATCAATTTTCATTGGGATGGTGAAACATTGTATCAAGAAGCTCGTAAAATTGTCGGCGCCGAAATGCAATTGATAACATATGAACATTGGTTGCCAATAATTCTTGGGCCAAAAGGTATGGAAATGCTTGGACCGTATAAAGGATACGATCCGTCGGTCGAAGCAACTATATCAAATGAATTTGCAACGGCTGCACTGCGTTTTGGTCATACATTAATCAATCCGATACTGCATCGTCTCAATGAAACATTTGAACCAATCGAACAAGGACATTTGCAATTGCATCGTGCATTTTTTGCGCCATGGCGTCTTGTTTACGAGGGTGGCGTTGATCCATTGATACGTGGCATGTACAGTGTACCGGCCAAATTGAAAAAACCATCAGAAAATCTCAATACAGAATTGACCGAAAAACTATTTTACAATGCTCATGCTGTTGCACTTGATTTGGCCGCTATAAATATCCAACGAGGTAAATAAATGTCCATTCTTTATTCGTATTTAGTGTTATATAGTGGTTTTTTTTGTTTGGTTTATCTTTGGTAGGCAGAGACCATGGAATTCCCGGTTATAATGAGTATCGCGCTAAATGTAATCTAACCGTTGCACATACATTTGATGACTTAAGACATGAAATAAGCGATGCAAGTGTACGCGAAAAGCTCAAGAAATTATATGGACATCCGAGTAATATTGATTTGTTTGTCGGTGGTATTTTGGAAGATCAAGTGGAAGGTGGAAAAATAGGTCCATTGTTTCGATGCATTTTAATTGATCAATTCGATAGATTACGACGCGGTGATCGTCATTGGTATGAAAATCCATCAACTTTCCAGCCCGCACAATTATCACAAATTAAAATGTCTTCATTGGGACGCATTTTATGCGATAATGGCGATAACATAACACAAATCACAGACAATGTCTTCTTTTTGCCACAAACACAAGGCGGATATAAATCTTGTGAGAGAATTCCAAAAATTAATTTGAATGTTTGGTTGAATTGCGACAAGTGTTCAGCACATCAAGATCCAAATACATTTTATGCCGATCCGAATTTACCGCGTCAAAGCCAAACGAGTGGTGCGACAAGAACAAGACGTGATGTACCTGAGTATGGAGAAATTGACGATGGTAGTGGTGAAGTCGATAAAACAATTGAAGACACTCTGCCAAATCATACGGGTGATTTGAATGAATTACAAATGATTACAACAACATTGAAATCGGTTCAAGCGGCAATTGCCGATTTACAAGAACGCATCTTAAAATTGGAAGCTCAAGCTAATTAATTTCGTGGCACTATTAAATTTCTGTCTATACATTGTCATTTAAAATGTTTTGTTTTATACGAAAATTGTCTATGGAAATAAAGTTGAATAAATTTATTCTATGAAATTGGTTGACCTATTTATTTAACATAACATTTTTACATAATGTCCGTATGTTTTATTTGGATTTTCTTAAGCCTGAATTTCGTTTCATTTCTGCTTCAAACATTCCTAAGCGTATGAAGAGACAAAACAAAAATGCTTAAGATTGTGGTGAGATTTTTGCCGGTGGCCATGTCCATTGTGATGGTGGAGCTTGCCGGGCAAGTGGTTCCCATGGTTTCCACGATAAGAATTTTCGTGACAACAATAATTCATTTTCAGCTTGAACGATCAACTCCTCAATTTGACCGCAACCAATTTTCTTTTCTATATCAATCGCATTCTGTGTCTATATAATTCAAAGGAAAGAAAGAAATATTTAGCAGATGTAGCGAATAATAAGTATAAACCTCGCATTCGATGTTACATACCGTGGCCACAATGTGAGCACGTTCACGGATAATTTTCTCTGTGTTCACACGGTAGGCAGCGGTCTCTGGCATTTGAGCTAATGCACGCAATGTTTTACCGTAAAGACTAGCCAATTGATGATGGGGATTTTTCGAAACCACCAAACCTGTCAATCCGGTCGATAGCTGAAATAGAATCAGAAAAATGCCATTTATTTAATTAGTGCATTTATGTGGTAAAAATTATGGAGTTTTTGGATACGAATGATTTTAACTACGAATGACATTTATTTTGATTGTGTAACACTCGCGTAAATACACACATTGTACTACGATTTACTCAGATTTTGCACACAGACAAATAAATGCGAACGATATTAGATCACTTGAAATTGAATTTACAAACCTTTTTCACTGCGCCCGACATTTTCAATTATTATCTCTGCAAAACTTAAGTTAAAATAGAAAACTTTATCCTTTCAGTTCGAAAAATCGTGTTAATAGGAGAAAAATATTGCGACCATTGAAAATGTCATAATAAAAAGTGTCAAAACCAATGAGAGCGAAATATGGCGAGACAAATGCCATCTATATTTCAAACTTTGCACTTTCAATATAATGTTGAAGTGATGTTTATTCATTATTTGAAATTGGTTTTGAGAGGTCGTTTTGGATGGATAAATAAATATTTGTTCAAATGATAGTTAATAAATATTTGATTCTTTGTTATCATTGCATGTGATTTGTATTTTCGATAAAGTACGACTTACTTTTAAGTATTTTTCTTTCGAATTATTTAAATACAATATTTGTTTTAAAATAAAAATAAACATTCGCATCGATGGTTTGAAAGAATATTGAATGTTTTTTTTACAGTGTTTAAATAGCATTTGGATTCGATGGTAATTGATTCATTTTTTCTGATTGATGTAAGTTCATCTTTTCAAGTTCTGCCTTTTGAATGTTTTGAACTTTATTTGAACTGTCCGATGGTGTTACTATGGAGGCCGTTGAATGATTTATGTTTGAACTCTCTGTTGGAATTAAGCTTGCTGTTTGCTGTTCAGTGGTATTTTCATTTTCCGTTTCATCACTGCAAATACAATTTTCATCTTCTTCCACGTATTCTTCACAACAATGACAACATTCCACGGGGCAATCGTCCTCATCTCCTTTACCTCAACGAATAAATTATTCTTTGTAAAAATGCCAGACCAAACTGATTTTCATTTTATTACCAATGCTTACCTTGTTCGCCATTTTCACCCATTTCACCATTATCTAGTTTATTATTTTGAATTCTTGCATTTTCTGTGAAGAATTTCTGAATTATATGTGATGATTTTTCTGCATTTCGATTATCTTGAATGTTTTCATTTTGATTCTCTGGAGCTTCTTTGTCGTGATGTTCTTGAAGTAGTTTTTCATGTTCTTTAGATGATGGAAGAATGATTTTTCCTGTATCGACTAATGCACCGAACGCTTCAAAAATCGTACACTCCGATTCGTTAATACAAAGACCTTGGAAATTCATCGCAAAGCCTTCAATGCAATCACATCCAACGCGAAATTCGTCGGCATTGGGCTGTGGAATATCACTACGATCGATTAAAAGATTTGCACACGATCTGGACGTCAACGTGTGATAATATGGATTCACAAATTGATAAGGATATACACAGCCAACATATTTTGTCTTTTTTGAATTTTCTGAATAAAAAAATACGAAGAAAAATAAATAAATTTAGTTTTTTATTTGTTAAACACTCAATAAGATGAATTGGTCATAATTACCTCGTCTTGGTCTTGCATCTATGAGACAACTGATTGCCAATAAAATCACAAAATTTGATAATAAAAATGACTTCATTTTGCCTATTCACGCAACAAAATTAAATTTATATCTTTATATATATATATATATATATTACTTTCGAATGTGCGCGATATACTGCAAAAACTGTTCTGATTTCAATTTACAAAAAATGCCACTTTTTATATAATCTGAATCGAATTCAGTCTCGTTCGATATTATTTGTTTATTGAAATGTTATTTATTTTAAAAGATCCAAAGGGTTTCCTATTTACTTACTTAATCCAAAAAAAGATATTTGGATTTGACAAGGTCGATCAAAGGCGAATATGGCTTCTGTAAAATATCGCTATTTCGAGCAATTTCGGAAATGATGATGAATACTGCGTTTTAACATATGAGTAAATTATTTATCTTAATACGAAAATTTAAACAGGTGAAAATCTCGCATTTATCGTCTCGCATTCGGTGTTTGGAATGCTTTCTACTTCCGTTGTACTTTAAAAATACCACAGCATTGGGTGGAAATGAATGAAAAATATTGATAGGAAGTGTCAATAGTTTGATCGAGAATATAGTAAAAATTCATTGTTTGAAAGGTCGAAATTAGAATGACCTTCAACCAAAACATTCAAAATTCTAGTTCATAGATTTGATTTCATCAAGATAAATGCAAATAGAATGAATTTACTCTTCTGTTTTATACTTGTACATATGGCGTGAACAAAGTGATGAATTGTTGACATTATACATGTTGGAATAAGATTATCATACATAATTTTGGATAATTTCAATCCGACTGTTCGCTTAACTTAAACTGAGTGGATCGTGTGATTAAAATACATCTGAAATATCTCAAATGAGAAATTTGTTAAAATTTTGTGTTTTATTCAAATTTTCTTGTTTCTTTCCTTGGATTTCATTACAAATTATTGTTTGCGTAGTTTTTTGGTGATCACTTTCTTGGCGTCGTCTATTGCAATGACTTATCACTATATGCATTTCATAGCAAATCCGTCTGGTTTCAGAATCAATTTATATGGATGATCGAATTCGACGCATTCGCCAGCATCGACCACGAGCACCTTGTCACTGTCCATGATCGTGTGCAATCGTAATCACAGTGCAATCGACGAATGTTTTTCGAATTGTCTCTTGGATCAGTTTATCCATCTCCGAATCAACATTTGCGGTGGCTTCATCTAATATGAGAATTTTATTCTTACGCAGAATGGCTCGGGCCAAACACAGCAATTGACGTTGACCAGCGCTGAAATTCGATCCACCGTCCAAAACTTTGGCATCCATTCCTCCAGCCAATGCTGATACCATTGACTTCATTTTGATTTGATCCTGTGAATCTCATAGTTCGTCGTCGCTTCTCTCATCAAATGGATCCAAATTAAATCTCAAGCTGCCAGAGAATAGGATGGCTTCTTGAGGAATGATAGAGATCTTTTTGCGTAAATCATGCAAACCGATCATTCCAATATCAACACCATCGATCAATATCTGACCTTCATTTTGTGCCAATCGAAACAGAGATTGGATTATCAAACTTTTCCCCGCTCCCATACGACCGACTACGCCAATTTTTTGCAGAAAAGTAAAAAAAAAAACACGCTCTAATTAAACAGTTGAGGAAGGCGAAGTTCAATCGATGCTTACCTTTGCATTGATATGGAAGGTTAACTTGCGAAGTACACGACCACTCTTCTCAGCATATCGCAAGCTGAGCGATTTAAATTGACTGTCACCATGATAAGGCCAATCCTTTGGCGGGGCATTTTTTTTATCTGATTCCAATGAAGGCTCCGCCGGAAGTTTGGCATATTCAATAATCCTTTCAGCGGACGTCTCATGATTCTCAAGCTCAGCACTTTGACGCATTCCCCACTGACATAATTGTATTAATAATAAGAAATACTACTAAAAATCGCCGGACCAACTTTACCACTTTCCACTGCTGAAATTGAATGGGAAAAGTATTTAAGACAATGAATATTCAAATTTTGAGAAGAAAAACAAACTTACTGCAATCTAGAAGAAAGAATCTAAATGTAACCGTGGCTATAAATAGCCAAATCGAATACACTCTTTTGAAGTATTGAGGTTTTGTACACGTTTACTGGCTGATAGCATACCCGTTTTCTCAGTATTGTCGATAGTTTCAATTCCATTCTCATGGTCTGTTGATAAATTACACATTCCACCATCTTTTCCGACGTTATTATTCCACGTTATTATTATTTTCATTTTTCGAGAATTTTGTTTCGGGCCTCAAAAGCAGAGCATCTTGATTTGCTGCTGCTCAGCATATAGCTGAGAGCTGAGAAATGCTGAACTCGTGCGGCTAACGCATACGAAACGGATGGCACGCACACATGCATTCTCCCCGTTTAAACGGTTATAAACAGTTGATTGGACGTTCAATTCAAAACTCAAAACTTAGCAACCAGTTGAGTTTGAAATTGTGTTGCGACCGACATATGAGAAGCTGCGAGAAAAACATCACGTCGCATCCTTCGTTATTTTGCTTACGTAAGTGAAAGCAAGAGATGAGATGCGACGTGCTGTTTTTGCTCTCAGTCTTTCATATATTCTGAAAGTGTACGTCTAACGCATACGAAACGGATGCACGATACATATTCCCCTTTCACTTCGTATGTTCGCTGGTATAGTGTGTAACCGTTGTACCGGCAATAGCGTCAACGGCAGCACATACGAAGCGAAAGGGGAATATGTATCGTGCATCCGTTTCGTATGCGTTAGCCGCACGAGCTCAGCATTTCTCAGCTCTCAGTAATATGCTGAGCAGCAGCAAATCAGGATACTCTGCTCAAAAGAAACTCTTGAATGCGCTTTATTGTCATGAATGCTTCAGCACTGTTGTTCAGGAAATATTGCATTTTTTTTGTTAAATAAACACTTTTAAGCCGTTTCGATCATTTTTAATATTCTAAATATTTCAAATGGAATTCAGAGTAACTTACTTGAAAATGAGTGAAACCGAAAAAAGATGAAGCAATGATACATTCAAAAGGTTGAAATAGACGAAACCATGAATACTTTCCGTGCAGTGGTTTCGTTCCCAAAGTAAACATATGAAACTAAATTGAGAAATATCGACACTTTTGTTATAATTTTGAAGGAGATGATCGTTGCACGATCTCTAAAATTGAAAATCTTGTTCAATTGGTTTAAAAACTTTTTATAGATTTTAACTCACTTTCTGATTTCATCGACCATTTTGGCGAAGAATTTCTCCCACGAATACGTTTTAATCACTTGCATGCCATGCAAAATCTCATTCATAATTTTCACACGAATATCTGTTCGTTTAGTGTTTTTCATTCGCAGGTGACCCGATTTCAGCAAATCGTTGGATAACAAATTGATAATTTTCCCATTTTGACCTTCTTCAGATGTCGATTTTAAAAGTCGTAATGTTTGTGCATAAATTAACCCACTACATGCTACACGAATTTTTATGGCCGTTTTGTGTAAGAAAATGGTAAATGGGTGATATACTAATGTAGTGAAGAACATTGACAAAACGATGCCAGCTGCGTACCAATATGCCACGTTTACTGGGACACCAGAAGCAGGAGAGAAATATTCAACTAAATCACCTAAACAGATCGGCTGAATTACTCTATACGAGATAGAAGATGATATTTATTACTGGACTGAATGAGATTCACTTTACTGATCACTGTACTGATATATTTTACCTTGCTAGTATTTCTCCTATTGTGTACAATATTGTAAGTGTAAGCACCTTGAAGCCGTGAACTTTAAACATTAAAATCAAATAAATAAATTACAAGCATATGATATCAACGCACGAAATTCAAGTGGACAAACCTTCCTGAACTACCCGTAAAAAACTGGGATTCTTTTTTTGCAATTCTAATTCCCATAATGTTGTGAATGTCTCAGTATTTTCCTCACTTCGCATGCTATTCGTCAGTTCCTAATTATCATGTGATTCAATTGGTCGGTTCATACATAACATTGGCTTCAACCACCTGAATGAAAGAACACCCACATGACGAATAATTCCATTTGACATTTTCAACAAACACAGTCCTGAGAAAAATGATTCACCAATAAGTCAGCTTTGACAAAATTGAAGAATTAACTATGTCTCAGTCAGCTGGTTATTGTGATAATATGACGATTTTCAATTTAAATCTAAAAAATTAATTCAAATTAAAACTAAAAATCACTAGCCGAACGATATCAATTGTTTTATTGTTTTATACTACACTTTTTTTGTAAAATTCAGCGATTTACTAACTAATCAAAACATAGATTCAATTTTGTAGACATCCTTCAGTGATGAGATATGAAATAAAAATGAGATTTTAAGCCTTTTTTTAAATTACAGCGCTTTGTTGGTTTTATTAGCCTTACAAATTGATAATCTAATAGAAATTGATAATCTTGTATCCTTTTCAAGGGCAAACGGCTTTTATCATTAATTGATGATCGCATTTGTGAAGTACATGTATGTACGGAAAACGATAATTTCTAAACTTATAAATGTTCGTTTGAAATTCAAATATTATTTAAACGGTAAAATTACCGAAAAAAAAACTTTCAAAATTTATAAAAAGACACGCAAACAATGAATCTCTACGTGTAAATGAATGGAACAACAAATAACATTACAATTGAATGTCACCCATAGAGGGCACTAGGCGTAACTATCATGTTTCTTGTTTATGTGGCGACGAAATACGGCGATTTCATTTCGCCATACTCATTGAAGCAGTGCTTAATGACGATTCACCATCATTTATAAAAATTCATTGTGACTGTATAGTACGCGTTAATCGGTTCGCCATCATCACAAGAGAAAAAAAATTTACAATTTAGTCTGAAAAAAATAACATAAACATAAACAAGGAATTTGATTGCGGACATTTGATAATTGAATTGTATAAAAAAAAGTAAGAAGAAAAAAAAGAAACGAATTGTGCTTAAGTTGGTTTTCTATCTATCTATAATTGCTATCGAGGTAAACAATCGAATATTTTATTTTTAGTTCAATTTTTTTGGTTTTCGAATTATTCTCCATTGCTCACGAAAAAAAAGGATTTTCATATCGCGCAAATAAAATAAACATTCTCTTAGGGATGAAAAAAACAAACCAGCCCATCGAAAATGACTTATTAAGTTGAAAAAATACACTTAGTCGTCATCCATATTTGTGTCTTTGTCGCAGTAAGTTATTTCCGTATGCTTTAGAGCGAGCAAACAAACGTATATATTTAAGTTAAGTAATCACAGACGGAATAAAAAAAATAGAAAAAAAAGAGAAACGAAGAAAAAAACTTGTGGTAGTGTGAATTCGTTTTGCTAAAATTACCGATGAAAACAGGAAATAAATGAAGGAAAAAGAAAAGAATTTACAATAAAAATAAAACTGGAAACCAAAATCAACATGAAAACATCTTTTAAATGGAAGCATTACTTTTCTCTTTTGCTTTTGGATATTTTTATCGACCATATCACCTAGAAACATATGAAGAAGATGATGAAAAAAAGACTCGGTATGTCGAAAATCAACACAATATCTACGCAACATTGAAATATGAACCAAAATGGCGTCGCTTTTTGTTCAGCATTTCTGTCTGGCAGTACGTTTTAATTTGATGTTCACGTACAGTGGCACTGTTATGCTGTGTATAAATTGTGTTATCTATTGTATGGATTGAGTAAGCTTACATTTTTTTACTCTCTCGCTATATCGTTTAATTCGTTATTTTTGGCTGTTTAGTTTCTGATCGGAAGACCGTGTGTATTCCATGTGGTTTTTAACCAACGGAGTTTGACCTTTCACAATAATTTTGTCTGCTACTATTCGAAATATTGTCAATGTGCTACATCATCTGTATTGTATTACATTGACTGATTTCATGCTATAATTCAACACACACTAAAACATTTAATTTCATTTGAAAATGTGAAATGTTTGTTTTTGTTTTATGAATGGTCTCTGATTGCTATCAACGAGAAAATCATTTGTTGGCTTTAAAACCGTAAGCATTGAATTTAAAACAAAACAAAATAAACTCGAATGCGGTAAATGATCTTTTAAATAAAATGTTTCTTAGTTTTGGAGGTAATAATTCAACTTGGCGGCATTTCGTACATCAATCTAATTAAGATCTCTTCTTATATTCCCCCCATGAAGACGGTTCAATTGTCAAGGTGGTCTGATATTGAACTGATCTGGGATCTTTCTTCAACTCTTGAGATGCAAGGCTCTTGAATTGATCGCCTTCATCATGTATGCTTAGTATTTTCTTTTACAAAAACAAAACAAGCCAGCAGAGATGAAAGAAACGTTTCGTTCATTTAGAAACAAAATCTCCTTTTCTCTTTCAATTTGCATCTGCATCATAAATTTTAATCGAATAAAGAACAATTTGTTCTATTTTATCTTGTGGGGTAAGTAACGACGCAAACTAACCAAACGAATGAAATCAATCAGATAATGGATTTTTTTTTTCTCTAAATGGAATTTGGTTCCGAGTCAATAAATAGAATTGACTTTTTTGAATTTGCAGCGCACATCACATTATAAAATTCCACATTATTGGAATAGAATTGTTTTTGATCAACTACTCGAATGACATATTCTGTAGAATAGACAATTTTAAGAACGTTTACTTGGATATTGAATATTGACCGGGAGCAAAACTTGAACTTTGGAACCAACCAAAAACGAACGGAACAAATTCGGTTTTTAGAAAACAAATGAAACCACATTTTCCCTGCTTTTCTACCATTTCTTTGCATACATTTATTTCTTGCACTTTATTCCCAATTGTGATGTTGCGTGTCCATCCAACAACATTTTGCAATTTCTTCTTCAGAAATAAAATGAATCAATAACGTGACATCGCAAATAGAATCTCGAAGTAGGCTTTCGCAGTTTTTTTTATTTTTCTTTTCTTATATTTTGTTGATCCGATCTATAAATTGGCGAATTACATTTATATTTTGTTCGTTTATTGTGAGTTTATCTACCTGTGAATTGGTCATCAAAACGCATTTTTCTTCTAATTTTCCACAAATTAACAACGAAACATATTCTGTACATCTTACAACAACAACAAAATGTGTTTAGTTTTTATTCTGCATCATCGTTCTGAACAGTGATGCATCGTTCGCGGGTGGTAAGGTAAGATTAGATGAACTAAATCAAGTTCATCTTTTAAATCTTTTAGATCAATGACTTGTTTTATTTTTTTTATGGAATTTATTTATATTAATTTTTAGCAACAAAATTACGGTTCCAAACTGAAAATGAAATTTTGAAAAAAAAATTGGAGCTCAAAATTTGATTCAGTTTTAGAACTTGATTCAGTTTTTATTTAAAGAAATTGCGATGGATATCATCGAATCAAAATAGCGTTAGAATAGCTATTTTTTCAATCTGAAGGGTTTTTTGAAGGCTTGCTTCTTCTTTTTTTTAAATGGGATTTTTCATTCGCTTAAAGAAACTTGTTGATTGTCTATAGTGCACTTCAGATGGTCAAGGATCTCATGTGATCATTTTTCATTTTTTTCTTATCATGCGCACTAATTCTTATCACAAACGAAGTCATTTATAATTATGGAAACCAAAATTTTCTGCTGTGTTCTTTACAACATATATTTAGTTTAACTCTGACCGAACAACATTAAAACAATTTTTTGAGTGGGATGTGATAACAATGTAATAGTTCGAGAAGAAGGAAAAATAAATTCAAACTAAAAAACCATTTTCAGAGGTAAAATTCCGTCACATTTCCGAATTTTATTGAAACGCTTTTCGTTTACATTCAACATAATTTTTCATTTTATTTGATTTATGATTTTCTATCATTTTCCATATACTAATCTACGATAATAAAATTCGGGGAAAAATCAAAAGTTTCAATTAAAGTTTTGTTTATTTTATTTCCAATGCAAAGAACACATAATAATATTCTCATCATTTATTCAATTCAATAAATTCTGATTTTAATTTTTTTTAAATAATTGGATTAATCCCTTTTATCAAAATAATAAGTTAAATTTTCTATTGCCTTAAATTTTCTTAGGACAATAATCTGAATGAAACGGAAATAAATCTAATTTCAAAATCTTGGGAAAATTAAATCTTTTTTCTGAAAAAAAAAAAAAATGTGGCCGAGTAATTTGTTTCCATTAAATGGACTTTTTAGATCACGTTGTTATGAAGGTGGGCTTAAGAGAATCGTATAAATTTCTTTTTTCACATTTTTGTGTGAAATTTCTAAAAAAAATGCATAAAATTTTCTCTTATAAATGTGAACCCTCGTAAGTTTCTATGATTTTTTCGTGAATTTCCTAGGATCATTAATAGATTTTCATTCATTTGAATTGCTCCATAAATAATCAAGAAACACCAAAAATAAGAAACAAATATTCCGAAAATGCTAGATACTCATTTTTTCCATATTTTAATTACATTTGGAAAAGTATCTAATTTTAAAAAAATGTTATTGTGGAAAAAAAATTGTTTATTTTATTTCTTACGACTGTTTTGCCATTTTCAGAAATTGGAAACAAATTCTTTAAAATATGCTGAGCAATTGGTAAATGATAAAATTTGGAGAAAATTATATTTAATTAATATTGATCTCCGCACCAAAAATTTTACTAACTAATTTAAAAATTTAGCTAAAAAATGGTAAAATATTTTGAAACAATATTTTTAAATTGAGAATTTTGCATTTTAATTTTTTCTTCTTTTTAAAAAATTCTTCTATAGCAGAAAAGAGCTTGGGAATTTTTTACAAAAAATTGTTTTAATTGATTTGCTCTTCATTTTTTCTTAACGTGAAGAATGTATAGGTATTTTCAATGCTGAAAATTGTCTGTCACCGTCCCAATCACAGAACTGATTTTTTTTTAATTTCTTGACCTTGATCCTAAGTTTTCTTAAGTCCTAAGATTCTATTTTTAGTAAATTGAAATTTGATGAGGCTATAAGCAAGATGAAGTTTAGTACAAAATGACATTTGGCACGAATTGGATTTAAAATCTCTATATTTTTCGTGTGAATTAAAAAATGACATTTGAATCATAATCGCTATTTCTAAACCAGACATTATTAATTCGGATATTGAAAAGGGGCAAAAACAATAGAAGTGATTTTTATAAGTATAAAAACATTACCTGACGTCAGCCACATGAGCTGAAATTTCTGGATGACAATATCCAAATCCATTGTCTATTCTAAACAATTGAAATATTTATATCGTGTATTTTTTGTATTTGTTTTTCTTTTACAAAAAATCTTTTCACGAGACAATTTTCTTTCTTTACTTCATCTTAAAAATAGCATGTTCTGTGGGAGTTTTTTTATTGGTAAATGTTGACATCGTTTTATCTTTTCTTTGTCAGTTAAAGGATTAAGATCTGCAAACTTATAATTGATGCTCCATTTTGGTGCCTTCTTTGAATTTGGTCATTATGTCAATATTTTTACTTATACATTTATTATATGAAATAAATACTCTTTTACACGCCAAAGATCTAGTGCCGCTCCAAAAGACAAGCAAGATAAATTCTGTTCTGGAATATTGTCTAAAGTTTACAGTATATGTAAAAAAAACGGAGAATATAGATGGTTTATAGTTTGGACTACTAGACTTCGACACGATAGATTTTTGAACTGTTTCGATTCATCATTCAAAATTAATTCACCAAATATATAAATATGGTATTTTTTTCGTATAAATAATCTTCTGTATATGCGAAGAAAATGTGCTTTTTGAAGAAAATATGACAATGGTTTTGTTTCCCTACAAAAATGAGCTGAAAATAATGGATGAAAAATACCGAAATCTGAAATAATGAAATGTGTCATTTAGTAACTCTGCAGAAAATCGTAGTCTTTATGTTTTTTTTTTTTTAATTTTTGTTTACAGATTTAATATTTCAATGGAAATCTAAAACTAGATTTTTCTACAACACTGTAAAGCCCTGTATAACCTTCAAATAAGTGATTAAATTTGAAATAAGCACTATACAGAATGAGTGTCATAATACGACTGCAAAATTTACCATGGTCGGCAAATGCCACCGATATTCGTCAATTCTTCAAAGGCTTAGGAATACCGGACGGCGGTGTTCATATTGTTGGCGGTGAAAATGGTGATGCATTCATTGCTTTTGCGTAAGTTTATCATACTGTATTATTTAATTATCTTTGCAATCTGATCACACTTTATTCACAATCTTTCTGAAAAAATGATGGAAATTTTAAAATGAAAAATGAATTAGTTTGCATAACATGATGAGCAAATGATTTACTGAACTTATGTTTGACCCAAATTTTAATCTATTCTCCAATAAAATGCTAAAAAACAGAACTGATGATGATGCAAGAAAAGCGATGCGTTTAGATGGAAGTAAGTTAAAAGAAATCCAAGTTCGATTGTTTTTATCGTCACGGGCTGAGATGCAGGAAGTCATTGAAAGTGCACGTCAAACAACAATCTCATTGATGCAAATGCAACAACCGGCTATTGCTCGACCCATAGTTGCAACTGTACCGCCACCAGTACTTACACCACAATCACCACCACAAGCAAGTCTTGCCACAGCTATTCAACAAAAAATGCCACCTACACTACCAACCCAATTACCGGGCCTAATAACACAACAAATGTATCAGCAACAAATGCAACAATTACAACAACAGGTAAATTATTCGTTCAATTCTTTGATATCGAACATTTTCAAATGTAAGTACCTAATGTAACGAACCATTTCTTTCGATGCTTTTCTAAATAGAACCCAGTGGGTGCACTAAATGGTTTGCCAACAAAAACGAGTGATACACTCGATTTAGTAAGTAGCCGACGTAGCCGTAGATCTCGCTCACGTTCTCGTTCCCACTCTTATTCGAGATCGCGCAGTCGTTCGCGTTCACCCTCACGGTCACATGATCGATACAGACGTCGCTCACGTTCACCGCGTCGAAATAAGGTTTGTTTTTATTTTATTCAATCATCATTCACTTTAAATGCAAACAAAATCTAATGTTCATTTTTTTTTTTATTCAGGGTCGTTCTCATCGTGATAGAAGCGATAGCCGTGATAGAGACCGTCGTCGAAATAATCGACCAAATGCTCGCAATGACATGGGCCGTAATGGAAATGATAAGCGTTCAAGTGTTGAAATGGAACCAAACCCATCAATTGTCCCAAATCAAATGAATGCTATGAATTCTCTCTATCAGCAAAATGTACCGTTTAATAGTAATATCTCACAGTATATGATGAAGCAAATGAATAATCCAAATGCGGGCATAGTAAATCCATTGGCCGGTCAAAGTGAACAAATTAGCGCATTTTCAACAAATGATGTGCGTACCATGAATATGAACATGTCTTTACAAACAAATCCGTTAGCTTTTCAGCAACATTTGTACGGTCAACAGCAACCGGTTAATATGCCGGCATTTAATACATTCTCACAAACGGCGGGTGTTTTACAAAATGCTCAACAACAACAGCATCCGCATCAACATCCCCATCACCAGCAAATGACAGGACCTGGAATGTCTGGTCAACTGAATAAATTTGGCATGAACAATGGCATGGGTGGTGGTGGTCCGTATTGTGTTCGCGTACGAAATTTATGTAATTTAACCAATTACAGTGCAATTCGTAAATTCTTTGCTGGTTTATTAATTCCAAATGATGGCATTAAAATGATAAATGATACAGATGGTAATCGAACTGGTCAAGCGTATGTACGTTTTGCCCGTCCAAATTTTGTCCAATTGGCAATTCAACGAAGTAATCAAAAATTGGGCCGAAATATTATAAAAATTGAAGAGCTCGATGAAAAAACATATGAAGAAGCGCTCGATGCATATCGACCACCACGTCGTAATAATTATCGTGATCACGATAGAGACCGTGATCGTCGATACAGACGAAATAGCCGCGATAGCCGGGATTATAGCGACGATGACGACGACGATGATCGTAATAGCAGCAAAGGAAATTCGGATAACGATCGTGATAATGACGTTATGTGCATATCAGATTCAAATGATAGCAAAGAATCAGCACCATTTACAACCGTTTTAATTGAAGATTTACCACCATTTACCAAAGAACAAGATATCATGAAATTGTTCTCATCATATCCGCTTGTTCACATTGTTATGGCAAAACGACCGAAAATGTTTTCATCATATGTGAAATTTCATAGTGCTGACCATGCCAAAGCGGCTGTTAAAAATACGGCATGTCATAAAATAAGTTTTAAAACAGTCTACATTTCGGCGTGTAGTGAAGAAGAATTTCAAACGGCTCGCAAAGAATTTAGCGGCGAATTAGACTTGGATATTGGAATGCCAAAAGCGAATGTTGAAGATAATTCAAGCTCATCGAATGATAAAAATGATAGGAATGAAATAAAAAGTCCCGATACATCCATACAAAATGATGAATACATGAACGATGAATCGAACGAAGTGTCCGACCATTCAATAGCCGGTGTTTCATTGGAAAATATTCCGGGCGTTAATTTGAATGATCCACGCATCAATCCGGCCAAATTTCCATTTTTAAAGAATATGAGTCAAATGGATACGAAACATTCCAACGAACGCATTGATCCGAGAACCAAGTCATCGGTTCAAGCGCCCATATCAAATGCATTCAATGTCTTTGGCATGGACGGTTCAATGGCCGCACAACAACAATCCATGATGGATATGAACATAAGCATGACCGAAGTATGTTGTGTTTTAATCGAAAATATGGAATATCGTACAACTGAAATGGAAATTGTGGAATGGTCGCAGGTCAAAGCCAATCTAACGCCAATTCGAATTCAATTGTTGGTGAATGAACGTAACCAAACAAATGGCAGTGGATTCATACAATTTGCAAACAGTGAACAAGCAACAAAAGCAATGGAATTACTCGATAAAGCCCAATTTAAATCACGTGTCGTACATGTTTCGCTTGCATCATGGCAACAAATTATGATGACCATACAAAATATTACACAAATTTTACGCGAAAATGGTTTTGATGGCATTGATACATCGGGAAATATACCACGTCCACCGCGTTACAATAATAATAATAATAATCCAAATAATCGATTCCAAAACAATAATCGATTCAATAATAATGGACACAATAATCGCATGCCCAACAATCGACCAAACCGTAATGGTGCCAATATGAATGGATGCGTTGTGTCCATGTCGAATGTTCCGTATAAAGCATCCGTGGAAGATATACTGGATTTTTTCAGTGACTTTGATTTATCCGCCGAAGATGTCATACGGAGATACAACGATGAAGGCAAACCAACTGGCGATGCTCGTGTACGATTTGACTCACCGTCCGAAGCGAGACGCGCCATTGACTTACGCGACAAATGTCGACTCACAAATCGACCCGTTTACTTGCAACTGTTTAATCAACATTAAGCTCTTTTTATCATATTTCAATTCAATTAGGTTTAGGTTATTTATCATCTAATTTAAATACGAATATTTGATTTGCTCACTTGAAGACCAAGAAAGAATGAGACAAACCTTGATGGTTTAAAGATTTTTTTTAAAATGAAAACAAGAGCAAATAACGAAGCAAAAATACATTTGGACATAGTTTGCTTATCAGTTTTAAGACAAGCATATTCCTCTTATTCCTTATCTACTGTAAATATTGATTCTTTAAATTTATTGATTAAAGCAAGGAAAAAATGAAAACAACATCATTGGCGTCTTTTATTTATTTTAATTTTCATTTTACAGTGATCTTATGATAATGCGTTCAAAATTAAATTGACCAAAAACCAAATTGATTTAAGTAGACAGGATTTTGACATTTAATGAATGCATTACGATGTTGAATATCGAGACCATATGTGGTATACTTTTGGTTTAATAATTTAATTGTTTTGGTTCGATTGAGAAGAACTTTGAATTAAAAGACTTCAAATTGACAACGCAATTTTAATCTTCAAAATAATCCAAAAGATGGAGCTGTCATGTGAAAATCTGTATGCAGCCATATTGATAGTTTTGCGCGCGCTTTGACATCAGTCAATATTACTGTGTACAACTAAACACGTTCGTCGTAATTTTGCATTTAGTTGTTTCTCTTTTGTTTATTTTTTTGTTGCAAATAAGAAATAGTTGTAAAATGACTGATGTGGAGATGCCAATGGACATTGGTCCAAGTACAAGTGGTGTATCATCGAAACCAAGCGACACAACCCGAAAACAACATTTGCCATGGTAATTTTTTTCGATACAATTATAAATTATTTCACAGCCGGCTACAATCAAAGTAGATTGACATCAAATGTATTTTGCAATAAACGTACAATAAGTGTACACACAAGAAATGAACCAGATGTGAAATTGCTTAATGTTTTTTTTTAGGATTGAAAAATACCGTCCTCAACGTTTTGATGAAATTGTTGGCAACGAAGAAACTGTATCCCGATTGAGTGTGTTCGCAACAAATGGAAATGCGCCAAATATTATTATTTCGGTAAGAAAACACAATCAAATCAATTACTTTCTTTAAGATAGAATCGATTTTTGTCATTTAAAACAGGGTCCGCCTGGTGTGGGAAAAACAACAACCATTCTCTGTTTGGCTCGTATTTTATTGGGACCAAATTTTCGTGAAGGTGTTCTCGAATTGAATGCATCAAATGAGCGTGGTATTGATGTGGTTCGTAATAAAATCAAAATGTTTGCCCAGCAAAAGGTGTCATTGCCAAAAGGACGTCATAAGGTCATTATTCTCGATGAAGCTGACAGTATGACCGAGGGTGCACAACAAGCATTGCGTCGTACAATGGAAATTTACAGTGATACAACACGTTTTGCGTTGGCCTGCAATACAAGTGAAAAGATTATCGAGCCAATTCAATCGCGGTGTGCGGTGTTGCGTTTTTCAAAATTGAGCGATGCTCAGATTTTGGCCAAATCGATTGAAGTGTGTCAAAAAGAAGATCTTGGATACGACAAAGATGGATTAGAAGCAATTGTTTTTACGGCTCAAGGTGATATGCGTCAGGCACTCAACAATCTTCAATCAACGTCGAATGGATACGGTTTTGTCAGCGCCGAAAATGTATTCAAAGTATGCGATGAACCACATCCAATGCTCATTCAAGATATGTTAACGCATTGTGCTGAAGGTGACATACATAAAGCGTACAAAATTCTGGCAAAGCTGTGGCGACTGGGTTATGCAGCCGAAGATATTATCGGCAACATATTTCGTGTGTGCAAGCGCGTTTCGATCAACGAGAAATTACGACTGGTTTTTATCAAAGAAATCGGCCAAATGCACATGAAAGTCGTCGATGGACTTAATACTTTGCTACAAATGACCGGTTTATTAGCTCGACTTTGCGAACTTTCATACGAATATCGATAAATCTCATGAATGTAGAAAAAACAGTCGTTATTCATCAATTCCAAACAAAGATTGTCATTCATTTTTTAATAATATAAATTTACTTTTGATAATTTAAGTTTATGTGTTTTTATTGAAACTTTTTTTTTTGTAGCTTTGAGGTTGACATTTTTTGTATGAAATGTCAAAAGTGGCGCCAATTTAGCAATCTGTCAGATTGTCAATTTGTTTATACTTTTTTGAACAGATCAGGACTTGTGTACGAACGTTTGAAAAAAAAAATGAATACTTCAATACAACAATCATCGCAACTTAACGATGAACAAGTAATTTAAATTATTTGTGTGTTATTTATTCGATTCACTTTTTTTTGCATAATTTTTCACTTAGATCGAGGAATTGGTAACAACATATTCACAATACTGTGAACTGAATTCACAAGCGTACTTCGATCCGGAAAGTCAGAGTTTGGTTGTTGATAGTCAATTCGATGAAACCGAAACAGAAGCTCCAGTCAAACTTGATTTTCAAGGCGAATTTTTAAAATGTTGTGGACTCAATACAACAGAAATGGGTGAAATTGCAACGCGTGTCAAATCAACGTATGAACCAAGCACACAACACGAATTGTGTTCACAAACAGATGCCGAAACCATTATCCGAGCATATATGACAACCAATCCATTTTGGAGTGGGAATATTGCATCGAAGGTAAAGTGACGTTGTTATTTACTTTTGTGGTGTTCTTTTTCCTAGGGGGGAGACACCCGCGAATCCATTCACCTTTTGTGTTGGATTTGTACGATTAGTATGATTACAAAATTTTACAAAGATTCACATTCGATTCAAATTTTTGATTTAAATTGCTATGATTCCAATGATTTGCACAGATTCACAGATTCGTAAAGATCCACAGATTCATTAAATATTTTTGTGTTTTTCTTTTGACCTACAAATGTATATGTTGATTTTATAGAAAATAAATATGCTAGCAAATATAAATTAAAATAAAATTCAATTATTTTTGTTTATGCAATGATTTCATTTTTACCGACTTTTAACAATGGAATAAAATTTAACTCAACAATCAACACATTTTATATAATTGACAAAGTGACTTTGTCAAAGTCCCAATGATTCATGAGATTCTTTGGATCCTTCGGATTCTTCGGATTTGTGAGTTTTGTGTTTTTTATTATAATTCTAATGGAATCGCTGGAATCAATGAAATTATACAATTGAGTATTTTAATATAGATTTTTCATTTTGAATTGGTGTCTACCCCATAGTCTTTTTCCCATTTCAAATTAATCATAACTCAATATTCATATTAGCAATTGGACATCGAAGCATTTTTGGACAATCGAGATTTTTTTGTCACACTAAAAAGTGGCACAAACAATGAGCCAATTCGACCCATTGCTGCTAGTTATAGAAATGGTAGTCGTGATCTTCGATTTACACTGGGTCCATTGCCGTTGGAAATAGAAGATGTACTCAAAATAGAAACGAGTTGCCCAGAGACTCAAGTATGGCGTGGCGAGCAAAAGATTTACGGCCAGAAATTCAAAACTGTCATGTTTTATGGTCGATGCAAGCCACATGGTACTGCCAAATCGGTGCCAGGACGAAATGTAAAAATCTACGAAGTAGACGATGGCAGTGGAGGGATTATTGTACATTTTCCACATTGTGATAGCAAATATTTGGGTAAGTTTTTTTTTGACAATTTCTTTCTTGAAATTTTCACGACTTTTTTAATTCGTTCTTTTATAAAATTCTGTAAAAAAAAATCGGCAATAGCCTTAAGTCGTGGAATCGACCGTTTGCTTGAACAATACGCATTGGCCAAAAAAGAAGGCATCGCATTCTTGGGATCATCACATTACGGACCAAAAACTGAAAAATGCAAACAAATGCTAAACAATATCAATATACTCATAAATATAATCAAGAAAAATGCGATCATTAAACAAGAATTTTTTAGACATGGCAGTAAAGTATGTGTGATTGGCCGAGTTTTTTGGCACAGAGATGGAAGGAATCACGTATTTGCATACGACATGTTTGAAGATGCCGGCGTTAGTCGTGATTTTGAAATTAAATTCAAAAAGCATTTATTGGACGTCTACAGAATGAAGTATTTAAAGTTTAAAGTCAATGGCGAACCAATTGATAAAATTTAAGGCAAAAAAAAACAATTTAAAACTTTGAGTTTATAAGTAATTTATTTATACGTGTGCAATAAGCGTGTGATGTCACACACTTTTATTACAAATAAACATTTTTTTGTTGTCACATTATTTTCACAACTTTTATTTAAATTTTAAAATATTCGACGAAGAAAATGAAAAAGAAAACGATATTTTTATGTTGGAATAGAAATAAATTTAAAAATGATGAAAAATGAGGGTACTAAAACATATGAAATGGGAGCAGCAAAAATTATACGATTTCATTAAGTTACACAATATTAAGTTATTTGGTGTGTCACATTCCCTTGGATAATTGGTTAATTATATTCCTCTGCAGCACATTCCGCAAGTGAGAAAATATAATCTTTAAATTCTTCTGGAACCACTTTATTTGCTGGAACCTTTGAAACTGCGTCATTGAAATGGACAACTGCAACATCATCGCCATCATTACATATGTTATTTCGATTTTTTGAATAAAACGAAACAGATATTGTGGCTCCGTTGAAATTTGTATTATCAAGCTTCGAAATGGCCTTTATCGCCGCTCCCTGGTCCTTATACGTAACTGTGGCTTTGCCTTTTTTGATGTAATCAGGAAACATAAATATGTTTGGTTTCATTGTCGTTTTATCTATCAGAATATCACCAATTGTACCAAAATACATTTCGATGTCTTCTGACGTTGTCTGTGGATTCATTCCACTAACAAAAATCATATTATGCACGATGGTCTTATTTTCATCATTTCCTTAACAATCGTACACTTGGTTTGAATTATCAGCGGTGATTTTCCGGTATGCATAGGAAACATCAATTTTAGCTCCCATGAAATCAGTTGAATTAAACTCGCCAATGGCCGATTTGGCCGCACTTGAGTTAAAATATGTAATTGTGGCCTCACCCTTTGATTTGCCGGTCTCTTTGTTACGATACAGCCAAATTTCTGGCTTGCCCAACTTTTTTTTTATCTTCTTTAATGGCACCGACTTTACTAAAGTGCAATTTGATGTCCTCTTCAGTTGTTTCTGAACTCATTCCACTAACAAAAATTTTGTTTTCCAGAATGATTTTGTTTTCACCCACATTTTCTTCTTTATTGAATCTATTCTCGTTGACGTTGAACACAAAATGAACATCAGCTAATAATGGATTGAGATATAGTTTTTCAAATACTTTTGAAGCGAATGCGTTTTTCATTTTAATATTTGAATTTCGTATATGAGCACTTGTTAACTTGTCTAACTAATTTCTAGCTTTGAAGATCGCAGAATATTTTATATCCTCTACTTTCAGGTTTGAAAATAACAGTTATTTTCGGTCTACCTTTGAAGCAGATTTTTGTTTATATGGAATGGAGTTAACAGTTTGTAGATCAATTATTTTGTTTAAATGAAATAACGAACGATTTTGTATGAAATTGAGTGGTTTTTCTTTATTTTATTAAATATATAGAGAGAGACTCGTCTGTTCGGCAATGCGTAAAATACAAAACATTTTTACTCCATGCTACTCGATTTAAATAACCATATATGAACGGCTGAGAATAAATACTGCAGTGCAAAAAACTCAATGTCCCTTTCAATTTCGATAATAACATTTTGCGTTTGGTTCATTGGTTTATATGATTTCGCGCTTTGACATTTTATGGATCATTTATTTTTTTATTAGTATCACGAAACAGAACTGTGTTACGCCTAGTCGTAAACATTTTCATTTGCATGTACAATCTAGGTGCGTGCCAAGGTGCGTCACCTTCTCCGGAACTTATTTTAATCTATAAACGCATTGCGAACACCTGAGAAGAAATTCTCCTAACAATTTTGTTATTCTGATAAAGAGAGGTATAAACAATTTTGTGTCCAATTATCTTTGTCACTTTTAATCTGACGACTTCACACTGTGTTTTTTTGGTTCAAATATATACAAAATTCGCAATGCGAATATAGAAAAAAAGCTTCTGGAGAATGAGACGCACTTTCTCGATGCATCGGGATCGTTAAAAGCAACCGCGCAAATAAAAGCGTTTATGAGTAAGTATAACTAATTCTGTTTCGTTGACAGACAATATATTTGGATTTTGTCATCTGGATAGTTCAGCTCATCTGGACCAGATTCTGAATGACGTAAGGCAATGATACGGAGTGAAAACAATAGAAATGATTGTTATAGTTATGGTAATATTTTTATACAAACACCAATGTCGTGACGAAATATGACAAAATCCAAATATATTGTCTGTTCGTTAGACAATAAAAAAAACATTAAATGACATTGAACAGAACAGATGAAATGTTGAGCGAAATCATGTAAAACAATGAACCACATTCAACGCTAAAATTTAGAGCTAAAGTGTATTTTGAAATCAACCGGCTTCAGAGCGTTGAAAACAACTAAAACAATTCTTTGAGGAAAAATATTTTTGAATGCATATCAAAATTAAAAGTTGACGACGAAGCAATTAATCGAAAAACAGAACAAAACCAATTATTCGATTCGTCGTGCAACATGTTAAGAAATGAATTCGAAGAACGACCGGCATTAAAATCAAAATTCGGTATTGTATATAATATCAACAGAAATATTAAATTCATCGGAAATGCGCGCTCACAATATTAAATTATTTTTCAAAAGAAATGTAAGAAATTCATTATAATTTATTTAGTCTGTAACTAATTCGTGTAACTAACCCTTTGCTACGCTTGCTTGCAAATTCTCTTTCATCTTGATTTTACATCTTTATTTGACATTTCTATTAACTATAAATACTAATAATAATTTTGTAGCCTGAAACAGTTTTATTTACAATCAGGTTCACTAGCAGGCTCTTAAAATTGTCGTTAATTTCATTGTTTTTTTTTTCCTGAAATAATAAAGAAGAAAATAAATGCAAAGTACGATGTTGCGAGTTGTTTTACTGATGATTTGCTTCACAAATGCATTTTGTGAAAATACTGTTGACAATCCATCGATAAAAAAGATTGGCGAATATCACTTCAATGTTGATGATGAAGTAAGAAATTTTACTCCAACATTTCAAGATTTTTTTTTAAAACCCAACAATCATTTTTACAGTATAATTGGTATGATGCGATGAAATATTGTTCTAACTATGACATGGAATTGGTTAAATTAGATTCGGAATCTGCTGAAATCAACCTAATTGAGGCTACGAAAAAATTTGGTAAATCGTAGCGAATCAAATAAAAATAATTTGTTTCAAATCTTTATTTAATGAATGTTTAGGAATATACGGAGAGAAACATAATTTTTGGATTGGACGTACGAGCGATCACAGTGAAAATTGCTTAGAGTGGATCAATGATTTGCAGAAATCGAATCAACAAGAATGCCATAAACGTCAAAATGTCATATGTGCTGACCGTAATTCTCAACGTTGTATCCTCTGCATTGGTAAATGAATATAAATATATGAAACGCTTTCCCATCAAAAATATAAAAAGAATAGATGAACTTGAAAAACTAACTACTGTTTGGACCCACACTTTTGAGATATTTGAAGTACAGATAACATTTTCCTGTAAAATAAAATAAATTCAAATTTATTTAGACAAATTTTAATGATTGTTTGAAAATTCATTTATTTTTCTCGTGAATTTTAAATAAATAACATCAACATGATACCGCACTTACAATTACAAGATTATGGGAATTCAATTTATTTGAAGAAGATAATATTAGATCACTACCAAATCTGCCATAATATTCGCCAGAAAATTTATTTATTCGTTTATTTTACTAATATTTTTGCAGTCACAAAATTCAAAACAAGTTCTCTCCGAATGATCAAATTGAAACTTTTCAAACTAGGGGGTAGACGCGATTTAATGACATAAAAAAGATTCAAAATTATGCTATAAAATTTCTCAGAGTTACAAAGATCTACAAAGATTTGAAAAACAATCTAAACTATCAGATTCCGTCATTTTGATTTTTTTAAAACTGAAAGATTCAAATTTATCACGAATATGATGGAAGATCTTTGGGAATTTCGGATCTAAAAAGATTCATAAAGATTTAAAATATCTACGAGGTCTAGTTATGGTGTCTACCCCTAGCTTTCAAATCAGTCTTTTTTTTTAAATATATCGATAAAAACATGACTTTAATATTTCGAAGTGATACGATTTTATTATGTTAAAATCATATCGACAGGTCAAGCCATTTTTATTAGCGTCTTACATTCACTTGGATATTTGGTTAATTATCTTCCTCTGATGCAAGTGAAAAAATATAATCTTTAAATTCTTCTGAAGTAAAAAATCCATCGTTTGACTTTGCAAATTCGACGAATTCGGTCATTTTCATTGTTCGAAATGGAAGCAAATGTAAACAATCATCAAGTTGTTTTCGTAAATTCTCTGGCTGATTTTCATCCAAATCAATTTGTCTGCAAGCGTATTTAGCCCAATCCAAACAGCCATTCAAAATATCCATTTTACTACATAGTAAACGCATTTCCAGAATTTTTTTCAACGTAAATTTGTCGCACTGTAGAAATGCACCTGTGGATAATATTGCTCTGGAAAATTTGGCGATCGCTCTTTCGCAAAATTGGATTAAAGTTTCTCTTTTTAGATATAATGCGAATTGAAAGCCCCAGCAAATATTATTCAAGGTCAATTCACTTTCGAGAGATAATGTACATGAGTGAATATATCCAAGTATATCATATTTGTCTGCCAAACGAATGACAGTTTCGATATTTTCCATGGATATAGTTACTTCGGTCAGATAAAAGAACTGAAGAAACTCCTTGAATGAATCGGGATCAGCATCAACTATTCTCACTTCATTTCCTTCTTTTAGTGCACCGAAAAACATACTGTAGAATACTGGACTAAGAGCGGCCAAAATTGCTTTATTTGCAGAAACCTTTAGACCGTTGCCATTAAAGCTGGCATCAACCGCATCATCGCTGCCATCATTTGAACTTGATTCATCACTTCCAGCAGCTCCATCTTCTCCGCAATTATTATGATGGTTATCCATGTGCTGACAATTATATCGACGTCTTGAATAAAACGAAACAAATATTTGGGCTCCATTGAACTCTCTATTATGACATTTCGAAATGGCAGTTTTGGCTGATTTCCGGCTTTTATATGTAATTGTGGCTTTACCTGTTGACTGACCGGTCTCTTTGTCAGTAAACAGCCAAATGTTTGGTTTTTTTGTCTTATTATCCATCTGAATGTCACCAATTTTACCAAAATACATTTCGATGTCTTTTACAGTTGTTTGTGGATTCATTCCATTAACGAAAATCATGTTCTCCACAATGGTCATATTATCATCACAATCGTACACACAGTCTGAATTTCCAGCGTTAATTTTACGGTATGCATAGGAAACATCAATTGTAGCACCCATGAAATCAGTTGAGTTAAATTCGGAAATGGCCAATTTGGCCGCGTTTGAGTCATCATATGTAATTGTTGCCTCACCCTTTGATTTGCCGGTCTCTTTGTTACGATACAGCCAAATTTTTGGCTTATTTAATCTCCTCTTATCTGCTTTAATGGCACCGACTCTACAGAAGCGAAATACGATGTCCTGTACAGTTGTTTGTGGACTCATTCCACTAACAAAAATTGTGTCTTCCAGAATGATTTTATTGTCGTTTTCATCCACATTTTCTTCTTTATTGTATCCATCCTCGTTGACGTTGAACACAAAACGAACATCAGCCAATTCATCATTCAGATATAACTTTGCAATCACTTCAGATGCTGCACTGTTTTTCAATGTTTTTGTCATTTTAATAAGTTAGGGAGAGAGCGAGTTTATAAAGTTGTTAAGGCGACAAAAGTTCACTTTGAAATGATCGTTGTAATATCACTTGTTATTTTCAGAGGCACGAAATGAAAGGAAACTGTATGTGTATTTGTGTCACTTTATTCTTAAGGGACAATATAGGTCATAAGGATAGTAAATTAGTCATTGATTTTCTAACTCACAAACATCAAAAGTATACGCCATAACAGCAGTGCAAACACAAATACATGCGCGCGCTACTCAGCTTTGTTTCTGTGATGAATACTTATTGACTTCTGCTGTACATGTGATGCTTGTGTATGTATTGTTTTGAAGAAGAAGCACATGTTTGAGTCTAACTCATCTCCGCCCCTTGGTAGGTATGTTCGTATAACGACTTTGAACGAACAAGAACTATTCGTATCCAACATTATTGTTCGTGCTGAAAAATACTGATTACTGCAGAAATAAATCAAATCAAAAATGCCAAAACACAGGGCGACAACAAAAATAAGAGCAAACTAAGCGATTTTCTATTCAATACTTTTGAATTTAATGTTCATTCCACTCGCTTGAGTTAATAAAAAATTGTATGGGTCACTAAAGACGAAAATATAGTTAAGCATTTCTTCTCATAGACATATCCATGTCATTCATTTCGTATCATGTGTACACATAAACACCGACAGTCTATTGTTGTCATAAACCCACAACAAATACACCGAAAACTAATTAAAATAATAATCGCTCAAAGTCTCAGACTTTTATAATCTAATGAAATTCAAAATGTGAATACATTTGTGTTAAAAATGATCACTTTCAATTGTTAAATTGTTAAAGTACGTGGAATCGGTAATACTGATATTAAATTTATTATTGCTGTGAAAATTATTATGGAGCTTTCCTTCTCTCAAGAATCTTCAGGTCTAAATCTTCAATTGAAATTTCACATATTTTTATTATTTTTATAAATGTTTGCATCTGATCTTTTCAATTCTTTCAAGTTGCTAGGGTTTTTTTTGTCGAGAGATGGTATGATTTTTTTTTTGCTTTTCACTTTTTTCGGTATTTTTAGATGAAAATTCTTTTACTGGTCAACCCATCTGCAATAAAGGTCTCAACGTCTATAATAAACAATTGATGTCTTTGCATGCAAAACTCATCGTTCTTAAAGACAAATAACAAATAATTCCAACCCAAACTATAACAAAAAAAAACCTTTTTATGGTTTCCTTGAATAATTTGAAAAAGAAATTGTCAGAGACGTATGTTTCGATGTCTATAAATATCTTTTTGTGCTCTTTTTCTCTTTTTTACAATAGCAGTGAGAACCTTTTTGCATTTGAATCACAATTAAATGAAATAATGAAAATTGGAATATTTTTAAACCAACAAAAACTTCCACGGAAATTGTATGTCTGGGTTTTATTGCAAATGAAAGAGAGATTTTGGTCTCTTTCTATCAATATTTATAAAACAATTGCAGATTGTAACAATAAAAAAGCATAGCAGGTACATGTTATATTTCGAAATTTATTATTTCAGTCGTACGGTATTGGCTTATTTGCAGATTTTCGAAGAGTGATCATTCTGTTTTTGAGTATCAAGTGGAAAACATTTGAAATACATTACAGATCTTAAATTTCGTTCATTTATTTAAATAAAAATTTCAAACACACTATTTTGATTTGGCAGCCAAATTGCAAATAAAAAAAAATGAGTTTTTTCATATGTGAAAATTTACACAAACCAAAATCAAATGTAATTCGTGTTCATCCATTGCCACCGAAAGTAAGTTTCAATTCATTTTAAATATTTCGTTCAATGAAAAACTCATAAAATCTTTGAATCGTTTTTCCAAATTTCAGATCACGACGTGCAATTATGATTTTGTTAAAAAATTTGGTAAACTTCGATTCATTGGTTTAGATGAAAATGATGATGATGATTATCCCAACACTGGATTTTTTGAATTCGAAAAAGATGATTCAATTGCTGAGCAATTAATAAGGAAAGGTCATATGGAATTTGAAGACAAAAAACTCGAAGTCAAATTATACAAGGAATTTGAGCATTGTAGTGATGAAGCTGTTGAAGTTGTAGAGGTTGTGAATAAAACCGAAGCATTGTCACTGCCACCAAAATCAGACTCTAAGAACAATATTATGAAGGCATTAAACGATGATTGTTTACGCGAAATATTCAAAAAGGTTCATTTTTCCACGCTCAGTAATTCAATTTTGAATGTTTGCGTTCGCTTCAATTGTGTTGCTAAAGAAGCATTTTCAAGCAAATATAAATGGCAAATGATCAATCTATTACATTTGGATTGGAATCGTAAGCCAACATTATCACAAGTTGAGAGTTTTCTCAGCAATTTTGGTCCATTCATGTCATCGGTATTAGTATCAAGGGACGCACATTTGATACTGGTCAATAAGTACTGCATGAATATAAAAAAATTGGAACTTGATTGTTCCGATTCACGTAATGGTACATTGAACATATGTCACCAAACATTCTATCAAATTGATCAATTGTTGGAAAAATTGAAAACACTACGCATCGTAAATATAATGAGTGCAAGAATTTTGGACTTAATCTCGGTTTGTACGGAACTAGAAGTACTACATTTAATTTTTATGCAATATGATGCATTCGACGAGACTGTCATTTATCCACGACGTCTGTTTCCGAAATTGATTGAGGTTCGTATCGTTTTCATTAATTGGGAACTTTTTAATGATGCCGATTTTTTGACGGCCACAAGTCAACTTTTAAATTATAGTCCGAATTTAAAAATATTAGAAATACCGCGATTGCATGAATCGATTAATTTGAGCAATAATAAAAAATTGAACGAACTTTACGTTAGAAACATTCGACATTTCGAGCGTGATCTTATAACTTCAATACATAAAACGTCCAGTGCACAAATAAAAAGTTTAGCACTGTTATTAAATAATGTAACCGTCGACAGCGATTTAATACAAAGCATTAATTATGATATGAAAAAAACGGTTACGGCTCTTGAATTCTTCAATTGCATCGCATTTAATCCATTTAATAGTGATTTTATTGAGAATTTTAGTAGTTTACTTCGAAAATTGCCAAATATAAAGCGGCTCTACTTTTTCGGCGACCGTCACACGCATTTTAATGCCATTGACAAAATGATTATGATCAAAACCATTTTACAAAATGCAAATCAATTAACAAATTTGATATTTCAAATACATTATGAGGAAGGAGATTTGTTTCAAAAATATCCATTCGATGAAACTGATTACAATGAAATAGTTGATTTTTTGAATAAATGCAATTACGCCACCAAACTGACGATTGAGTTCGTTTTTTATGTTGATACATCGGATGAGTATAATTGCTCATCAATTCAATTTATGAATATGGTACCAAATTTGTTGAAAGTTAAGCAACATTCTGTTGTTTTTTAATGCAACGCCTCTTTATTGTCAGCGAATAAATAAGTAATAGACGAAATTTCAGAGAGGCAGAGAGAGTTTTTGGTTCCAGTGACGCGTGACACTTATTCCATATAATTTTTTAAAGACTGAATACAAAAAAGAAAAAGAGCAGCACTTACAAAAAAGTACCCGTTCGCCTGCGGTGCTTATAACAGCTCTGAATTTTTTTTTTAAATTACACACAATATATTGAGCTGACTGATCATAACAGATGAGTAGAATAACGGTAGTGTGCTATTGGTTGTCACAAAATCAAAATGTCCCATTTAGGTGGCTAGCTCGTGTCATGTGATATAATCAAGTCAGCTCAATATATTGTCTGAAAAAATAAACTCGAATTCTTCTCATTTGAAGAGTAATTCTTTATTTTTTGAGTTAGTTGTAAGTTCTTCAATCAAAACAGACATAAAATCAGTTAAACGACATTTAAACATATACAAAATGAAATGTACAACAAAAATGTTGAATATCATAGGCAATTCGGCATAATTATCCAAAATAAGAATAAAAAACAACACAATTGTACAATGAATTTTTTTGGTTTTCTTGGTTCCATACGCTATTTTTTTTAAAAGAAGACATCCTATTTAATAATATATTAATTATAAAATTGAATTGTTATATTTTTCTTTCGTTAACCCTATACTAAATTTCTTACACCATAAACCACTTAGCTTAAGATTTTACACATTTTTTTTATACAAAACAAGTTGGTCACTTAACACTAGATTTTTGTTCATAAATAAAAGCTATTTGTATTCACAATGGTTTTTAATTTCATTTTCGATCGATTTTATTTGATCAATCGTTGGTTTCCATTTTTATTCTCATTTTTTTTACACCATAGATGCGTTTCATAATTGTGTACACGTACATATTAGAACTTGCGTATACATTGTATCGATCGATTGCATCAATATTCCAGGATACTCAACAAGTCAGTTTCATTTACTTTATAATTGGTGTTGATTGGAAGTGAAATAAAAAAAATAAAATTATCTCTCTCTCTCTCTCTCTCTATCGTATTGAATAATTTACGTTGGCATTCCATTGACGAAACATTTGATGTGCACGTTGAAAATTTTGTTTGCACAAAATTTTGTGCGTTGATGTTGTTTTCGCTTGAAGCTCTAATAAATTTTTTGCTTTATGTGAACCGGTTTCAGTAGACTATTGATCACTTTGCTGTTGCCTTCAAACCGTAATATTCGTCGCACGATATATGTTGTGATCATGACAATTGCAATAAACATTGCGACCACATCTAATAGATAGTACTGCACAAAACTGCCCATTTCGATGTGGGGGAAAGATACAAAGACAAAGGAAATTTCTTTAATAAATGATAAACTTCAAAATAGACAGAAATCCTGAATTAAAGCAAATTGTTGTACCTGTAATTTCGGCTTGGTGATTGTAAATGATAAGCTCCATTATGTCGAAGCACATATTCGGTCCAATATATGGCTGTATCTAACGGTGTTGTTCTTTGATCCAATAAAAACCGTTGCAACTTCCTACAACGTACACACCGATAAAACAATGGTGCTTGGTTAATACAAAATGACTTCGAGAAAAAAAAGATCCGATTTAAAAAACAACTCACTTGACTGCTTGTCGATAACGCTCGTCATGTATCACTTTTAAAATTCCCTTGACTTTTCGTGAAATGAAACAGATAATAATCAGACATTTTCTTCCGATGCTCACTTATTAGATTAAGACTTACTTAATTTATCCGATGATAATGTTTCCAAGTCGAGTCGCAGTGCATATCCATCCGCAACGGCTTTGGCAGCATTCACATCATGATCACAGAACACAGGCATCGTAACCAGTGGAACGCCATGATAAACACTTTCAAACATTGATAACAGGCCACCATGTGTGACAAATGCACGAAGTTTTCGATGGCCTATTTTGACAAAAACGTTAAATTAACAAAAAAATCGAATTTCAACCCGTTTCAACGTATTAGATTTCAGTGTCAGTAATAATGCATAAATAAAAAAAAGAAGATTTATCTCATAAGTTGTGTTACCCAAAATATCTTGTTGTGGTAGCCATGTGCCGATTTTAACGTTTGGTGGTAAGTCCTTCATATCCGCAATGCTACCATCGTATTTCCAAATCACACGGTATGGAATTTGAGCGAATGTCCGTATAAATAGTTTCCGTAAATGTTCTGGCATTTTAGCCGCTTTAACTGACGAACCCATCGACACATAAATAAAACCAGATTCACCAGAACCCATGACAAATTCTTCCAGTTCCTGTCGCGAGAAAAAAAAAAGGTTTATAGTTTTCGTTAAAATGTGTGAATTGCTGGGGAAAAAAACCGGAACTCTTTTCAACTTGATCGTTAAGCAGAAAAGTTGAGTGACAGAATGCGAGAATATGTTAAGCAAACTAGCCAAAACTGGCATATGCATTCGGAGGTAGAAGGTGCCAACGAAATCAAAGATATAATCGCATAGCAACTACTGCTGTTGATGTCGATACGATGCAAGAAAAAATGCTGTATATGTATAAAAAAATGAAATGCGATTAATTACTTTTGGCAATGGTCGAGCCGGTTTGCAGTGGATGCACGCAATTTCAGCTACGTTTGGCAGCAATGGTCGTGAATATGATACACTTGAATGGCCATTTTGCAGTATAAAACTAACGTTACGTGTTAAGTCATACACATTCGGTACATCACCGCCCAAGTGATTCCGAACGACCGATTGCAACAGTAACATCGATACCTATAAATGAAATGAAAAAAAAAAAGAATTGAAGAAACACAAACACATATATCTAGATATTTCGTAAAAAAAACACTCTTATTGAATGGAAAATGAATGGTGAGTGAGAGTGAGATACTGTAAAAACAAGCCGAAAAATAAATAATAATTATGTTAATACTAAATGATGCATAAAAAGATCAGAGGAATACCCATATACGAGTGAAACAGAGAATTGCATTGCATATTATGACGATATACAAACGAAACAAGTACAGCAACAACAACAACAACAACAACATAATAACAAATCTATATATCGCATAGATCCGGTGGCGAACAAATTTGAGAGAAACAAAACAGGTCTATTTAGCTACAAAATATTTAATTGACTCATTAAACGCAAATAAACGGCAACACACACACACACAAACAAACATTCAATGAACCATGTGTGACAATCACAATGTCTAATCGACCGGATCAATTCAAACGTAATGATGAACGACAAACCAGCAAACACACACTTCACAAGAAGAAGAAGAAAATGAGTATTTACGAGAATATGCGTAGCACACGAAAGTGCATTCAATCCATTATGAGCATGCAAGATCGAATGACGGATAAAAAAAAAGATTGGCGACTTTAACCGGATTCAATTGACGATGCAATTATGCAACACTTTCATACGCACACCGGATTAGAAGTAATAATAATGAATGGCACTAACAACCATAAATATATTCTCTCTGTTCTGTATGAGTCTGTGCGTGAGTGTGTAAAGATTTTGTTGTTGTTTTTGGTACATTCAATAAAAACCAGTAGTACATTGAATGTTCGTGTGAATGTTTGCAATGTTTTTTTTTGCGTTGCCATATATAGGCGCGAGAGATCTATGCACGTATGCACCGCGAAGAATCCACGTCGATTTGGGTTAATTTATGCAGAAAAGGTGAAAAATGATCAACGTTGTAAAATTGAATGTTTGTAATAAAAATATAACATTGACATCATTCTCGAACAGTGATTTCTAGAATTTTTTTCGTCGTTGTCGTCGTGATCGTCGGTACGTTTGACAACCAGTTTGAATTGAAAATGAAAGTGATATGAATGATGCATTTTATGCACATGCAATTAACTTTTATTGGTAGTTGTTTGTTTTTTTTTCTCTATCTGATACCTTTCTCGTAAATGTGGCGAACAGACAATAAACAAATAAATAAATAAAAATACAACGGAAATCATCTTACCCGATGCACCGAATACGCGAACACTGTGTACATTGTGTTCAGGAATCGTTGATACAAATTCATTTCGTCGGTGAACGAACTGAAGAAAATTGGTGTGGTTGAATACGGTGATGGATTGCCAGCCAGCGACAAACTACCTGTTTAACGAAAAGAGAAAAATCGATTTTCATTATTTTCAGCTGCTTGGAATTGAGAATTCATAACATGACCGAGATGCGTCCATCAATTCGGTATGACATACCGGTATAGAGCCCAACTGTGTTAATCATCATGAATGGTGCACGGAATGCGTACACTAAACTAACAGCACATTCCGGAAACGCTCCATCCAATATCACCAAATCAAAATGACGATTTAGCAAATTCTTTGTTTCGGCATCGTTGAGCATTGCATCACAAGACTAAAGTCGAACAAATTCGAAAATGGAGAAAGAAAACCATAATCAATTCAAAGTGGAATTTACGATAGTACTATCAGCGGTCTATGTTTATGTACATTTTTATGATTGTACCATAAAAGTATGGCAGGCATATCGATATTACCTCAAATGCAAAACGCATCACATCCCATACACTGTACGGTAATGTACCGCTCATTCTCACGCCAACCAAATCCCAATTCGTATAATTTTGTATGTACTCCGATAAACCGGCTGGTGTGATCTCATGCAAACCACTATCACTATAATCAGCTGGAAATCCACTCAGAAATGTTATGTTATGGCCTCTGGAATTTATCGGTTTTGGTTTTGTTTCAATAAATTGATTACACTTTAAATTGATAATACGAACGATCAATTTTTTAGTGTTTTGTTTGTTTTTTTTTTTTTTTTTTTTTTTTATATAAAGGAAAAAAGTATGAGAGATTTTATGGAATGTATGAAATCATATTTGAGTGTTGTTTGTGTGAGTGTCTGACTGATATGATTTGGAATTACCTTGGAATTAGACCTCTGGCCAACTCAAGAAATGGTATTTTATGGGATTTTGTTCCGCCCATCGTCATCATCAGAATATCAGCGGCCAATGTGCTGCTGATACCAGCAAATATCAACAATAATCCGTAATTCATATTCATTCTGTGAAATCAAAATGAAATATGATTTTCTCATAAGAATAATAAATTAAAACGGAATTGAATAAATTTACACGAAACCATTTCAAAGTTGGACAATAAAATAAAGTGATAATCGAAAAATGAAATTGTTTAAATCATATTAGATGGTGCTCTAGAAGTTGAGTGACCATTGTGTGCGTAGTACTGCTACTCAAAGCAATTGACCCCAGACAAATTTGTGTGAATTTTATTGCTTTTGTTTGTTCGATTTTTGATATTCATCAAATTTTCAATTTAACATCCGAAACAATTTGTCCGGTCAATGGGCCTCCTAATGAAGTGATCTCAAACATTTTCGAAGACTCTTAAGAATTTTGAATGATGACCTTCGACATTGTTGAAAAAAGAAACATCCGAATTTTTTGTCTCTTCTTCTTTCATTTGAATGACGATTGAAAAAATAAGCTGTGAGCTTTCAACTTACGAAACAATCAATTCCAAGATTCATCTTATTCGGTTTCAATCAATCGAATCATTAACACCAAACCGGAATAGACGGTGTGAATGGGTGCTCTTGTGTAGGAAATAGTTAGCACATGAATAAAAAAAAAATAGTTTTAGAGTCAGTGCAAGAGATGAGAAAAAGACGGAGAAATAGAGATAGATAAAAGTGCTATCGTAACACACACGGAACGCCAAGAGCCAAGTATAATCAACGTCGATCATATTCAAATACAAAATGCACCGTAATATAGCGTGATTACATGTACAAGCTAGAAGAAGAGAAGAGAAAGAGAAAAATCAGCAAATATGATTATGTTTTCCATTTATAAGTGAATCGGTCCACGACTTGTAAACATTTAGTTGTCATTTAAGCTTTTTGACTTTGAAATTGAGATTTTCAAGCGTAAAACTCTTATTAAAATTGCGAATGAATGATGACGGCAAGGTTTTTAATTCCATTCCATGTGCGAAATGGCATTTTTCTCACTCTCCGTCGTCTCTCTTTTCGCTATCTATCGTTCACTCGGTTTTGTTTGTTGTTCAATTAGCAAAACTATTTACATTCAACATTTACGTGAGCATTTCTATGAAAACTGAATACTACTTGCCACGGTTTTTTTTCGTCGCAAACATAGCACAAAATCAATTAAAATCTAACACGCAAAACAAAAGACACAAAATCAATATATGAACGAAAAAAAAATCTCGATAGTCATAGTTGAATCTTAATTCTTTGTGTGTAAATCACATAAATTACGAATTGCGTACAAATAATTTAAAATTTACATCATTTTTAAGTGGAATTGCAGTTTTTGGATATTTTAAAAACATAGCGCGCATATTGATCAGAATAAAATTGGCAAATCAGCAGTGCGAGTGAGCACTAGAGTGGTCCCCCAAAAAAAGTTTATGATGTCCCATCTGGTTTGGTGAAATACATGAAAAAATTACATGTTTGCCGTTTTTGTTTCATCCAAAAGTCGATCAACTTGGAGATTTCCAAGTTTTCTCGATTGACAAATTCATTTGGAGTCAAGACTAACTTAATCACAGTGAAAACTTGTAAATATTATTTTCTTACCAAAATACCCAATCTCACTAAATTTGAAGAAATTTCAATCGAAAATAAGGGTTCCTCCCATACAATATTTTAACCCTTTTTCTACCCTTAATTTTTGTTTGGACATCTCGATACGATATAATTTTTTTTCAGGACCACTCTAGTGAGCACGTTTTGTTGTAATGATGTTATTATTATGTTGGCATAATAAACGATTCAATAATAATCGCGTCGTAATCATTTCAGCGCAATGGCGCCGCTGAAGCCGGTGTTCGCGCGTAATTCTCGAAATCTTCGAATAAGACTGAACTTTTTTTCAAAAAAAAAGTAAACTCAAGTCAACCACATATTAAAATGAGTGTCCGGCCAAACAATAATAGTCATCCGAACACACACACACACACCCAAACGTGCAAGAAAAAAAACACCTGACAATTAACCGAGAAAAGTGAAGATAAAAGTCACTACGCCTTTGCGCACATAAAAAAACCGACAAATAATAATTATAAACTCTTTGTGACTTTCATTTCTTGTATGATTTGTATTTATTTTTTTCATATGCTGTGCTGTGTATGTATTCACGATTTTTTTTGCACCTCTGCCGTACTTATTTTTTTTTCTCTTTACATTTCTTCACAATCACACAGCTACAGTTGAACGCAATTGTAGAAATAAAAAATAAAAAATCAGCAGAAACAATTACATAAGAACCGAATGAGCATGCAATAAAATTACCAGCAAGAATAACAACAATAAATACAATTGACGCGAGTAAGCGAGCGAGCGAGCCTCCGTGGAGTAACGATATTGAATATATTTAGTTTATTGAAGAAAATGAAAAGAAAAAGAAGACGAAAAAAATGCTGCACGATGGAAAAGAAACAAAAGAGGAAGAAATGACGTGCCCATTTGTGCTCGATGAATTCGAAACCTTATGGTTGATATTTTACTCGAAATGTGTTGATAGGCAGGCATAGCATATGTGCCCGTATTTTATATTTACTTCTTGTTCGTAGCATTTTATGTTTGGTAAAATAATCGTGTTTTATTAGACAAGCACCGGCCACAAAGTGCAAAACAACACACGATGCAAAACCAATCTTCGACCATTGCACCGTTTTGTTTGCCAGCACCATATAGTTTTCCATTCGCCATCAAGGTGTTTGAGTGATAAACATTCATAGCTATTAATTGCATTATTGCTTTTGAATACATCGACGATTGAATAAAATTCGTGTTGAGATGCTGCCACTACGGATGATTTGCTCTTGCAGATATCGCATCCAACAATCTTCCGAGGAGGTGATTTTTTTTAAATGAACCATGGTTACACGTGAGCTTTGGATCCATTGTATCAAATTATTAGATATGAATAGTGAACATTATTTCCTCAAAATCGAAACTTGCACTCGAAGAATGCAATTTTTTGACGAAAGATTTGTATCTGCTTTTTTTCTTCAGCGAAAGAATTTATTTTATTCTTAAAAAGAAAGATCATTTGTTGAAGTTTCTTGATTTCAATTTCACCAAAGTATCATGTCGAATGTTTGACTAAAAGATTCCATGTGCATCAACCTAATTGTTCATCCAAGCTGCTCATGAATCACGTAAACACAAAAAAAGTAGTTTTATCTTGAGTGTACATATGAATGAGACCGAAAAAAATATAGTTGACTCGCAAAACGTGCACGGCACACATACTCGTAATAATAATAGTAATAGTTTTTGAATGAGCAATTGTGCAATAAATAAATTATGATTCGAAGCGTTAACGGCAAAATGCCAGCGAAAAAAAAATAATGAATAAGTTTTGAATGAAAACAAACGTCACATATATAGCATGTACTATATTGACTGAACCAAACAGAAACGATGCAATTGGTTGTGGTTCCACGAACGAGCGCAGTGCATTCCATACTCTTGAGCGCGAACGCATCCAATAAATCTATTACAGGTTGTTAACGATGTGCTTATCGTAAACAAACAGTAGCATAGTAGTAGTTTTCTTATTTTTTTACCTCACTTTTCTGCACTTGCCATTTCTAAGAATGTGACTATATTTGCGCAGTGCACATCCACTTTTGCATGCATTATTATTCACAGTTGCTACCAACGAAACAACAAAAACAAACACTCACTTCTTTTCATTCGTGATGCGACAAAATTTATTTCGGTAAAAACAAGTGCGCTGTGTAATTTAGAAATAAAAAACAAACAAATTTGCATGTGAAAAAAGGCGAGAAAATTGCTAAAAGCTCTTTTTTCCCATGCGAATGAATGAAGTTTTTGTAGCTCTCTGTTGATGCCATCATAATTATCACTACAAACTGCATTGAACAATTACTATCAAATGAAAAACTTTCACCCATAAATAAGATGCAACGTAGATGCGCATTGGCATCGTTTCATTTTATTGCAGAATATGTCAATATTGTTTGACGTAAGCTATGAATTTGGATCATGCAAGAAAAAATACACGAAGAAAATGGAATAGTTCGCATTCGGATATCGCTTACTTTAGTATCCGTCATTTTTAACCGAATGGAAAAATTTCCATTTGAAACTTAAAAAAAACGGAGTAAATTCTTCGTTGAGGTGTTTAATCGGTCAGCGATTTATCATGTTGCGTGCAAGTAAAAGAGAGAATCAATATCCGGCAAGTGAGCGCTCGCACGCGCGCACACACAACATGTATAAACAGTCGAAAATAAAAGAAACGCAAACAAAATGAAATGCAACCATGAACTTGAATCAAATAAGTCTTTGCGTTCGATGTCAACATATGAGGAAAACAAAACGATGCAAAAAAAACACACACACACACCACACACACCACACACATATGACTGAAAACACACATCTAAATCTGTCGACATAATGAATATGCATATATTCACGCAAGAGTCACCGATATATTTCATACACAAACCAGCTGCTGATTTGTTTTTTGTCATCTTTCAAACGAAAAACAACAACAATCCGTAATGTGATCGCGATTTGTACGGCCATAATGTGTTGTTGAAATCAGAAAAAATTAATTAAAAAAAAATCTCGATGAAACTAATGAATACAATAAAAATGACCGTAATGCACTCATTTTAACGCTTGTGTCTTTTAATTTTTGTTTTTGACGAATTTTTTGATTGAAAACATAAAATTGCATAACATCAAAGAGGCAGCAGACAGCCGCTGTAATGCAACAATGTGTAAAAGAAAGGTCGAAATAAACAATTATGTTGCGCCGCAACATAAAGATTTATGAATTGCACGCAACATTTTAATGCCATGGTTTTTATCTGACGATAAATTGGTTGTTTATATTAATTCTTCATTTTTCTTCACATTCAAAAATGTTTATTACTTTATTATTTTCGGGCTAGTTTTGTTTGTGCGTTCGTCTGTCTTTCGACACACATTTTTTTATGTTATTTTTAATTACATAAAATATTGTGTATTTT